ATTATTAGTTTTTTTGGACACCCTCCACCCCCAACTCGTACATAAAGGAAGCTTTTAGCCCCCACCCCCTTTAAACACGAAATAAATCAATTAATTTAATAGATAATTTTGACGCCACAGGAATATAAAATGTGTCATGGGCCATGGGTTTATCCCGCTGACAGTTTGGCCAGCCCAGTGGTACCCATAATATTTGTCGTTCTGGGTGTCATGTTGCCCTTGGACAGAGCCAATGAGAATGGGGCAAAGAAAGCAGTCACAGTGGGTGCCAAAATTTCTTTAGATAGGATCTTAATAGTGAATTAAAATATCAAATCCCATATACTTCAGAAAGATGAGGGGGGCAAAAAATCGAAACAATTGAAAAATTATAGGAATCACTGAACTAGCCCTTTGAAGATACTGTGGACGAAATATTACTGTAATACTGCTACTACTGAGTACTATTGAAATGATATCTAGCTAGTTCATTTGTGAAAAGAAATGGCAACATTATGATAATTCCTACACAACACTGCATGCTATTTTTACAGCATTGGAGATATAAATATGCTATTTTTGGACTGTCAGATGGAGCTGAAACTATTCACTGCGCTGGCCTTTGCGGAAAAATAAGATAAGACAAATACAAATAAGACAAGCAAGTTGTCGCTGTCAAAAGTACGGGCAAGCCAGACAACGAGAGGAAAGTACGGACAAATAAGGACTCAAAAATTAGTATTGACAAGAGGGTCAAAAATACAAACAGTCTGTACTAAATATGGATGTCTGGTAACCTTGTATATATTGCCTCTAGCTCTGGTATAGTATATTGTAATACTATAACTTATAAGGCAGGATCACAAAGCAGCAGCAACTATGGCTAAATTGAATAAGGGGTGTGGAATAATCTTAAACTCACTGAAAGTATAATTAGTATAAAACTAAGTGTCTTAGGCATGTGTGCTTGGCTTAGTATGCTCCTTACTTTGTGGCAGTGAAGTGTGGACCACTAATGCCTGTCTCAGTCATGAGCAGAAACTCAGCAACTTCCATCAACGATGTCTGCATGGCATTTAGCACATTTGATGGCAGGACAAGGTGCGTAAAACAAGAGGTTTTGGAACATGCCAAAATGTGTAGCGTATTCTCCTCTCTTAGCAAGAGGCACCTTCGCTGGTTAGGCCAAGTAAGGAGAATGGAGGAAGGCTATATTCCAAAAGATTTGCTGTATGGAGAGTTGGCTGAATGGGCAAGACTTATTTGATGGCTGCGATTTAAGGACGCTAGCAAAAGGAGCATGAGGGAAGCCAACATGTTTACCATACATCCTCGCTTGATTGCGATTCTCCCTGTTGATCAGACTTATTTGAATTTTGTTATTCTTTTGGTAAAGATTACCTTTGTCCTCTCAATCTTAGAAAGTCACATACACATTATTCACTTTAGAACTTGATTGATTTCAGATTCCATAGTCTATGTAACTAAGCTGAAATTCTCTATATAAATACTGACAAGTTCTATGAATTAGACAACAAGCTTTTATTTATTAAAACCTCCACGTGTAAATGTACATAGATTATAAGACAAGCCCTGAGCCAAATGTTCTGCTAGCAACCTATGGCACTTCCTCACTAAACACCATTTCCAATCAGGGCTCCGGATGAATGAATAAAAAGGGATTTTATTTTGAATATGCACAACATATAAGCTTAAAATGATATTGTTAAAATTTCTTCTTTATTTTTGCAGTAAATACATCATCTACAGTCCTGGAAAGTAGACCAGAAAATAACTGAATGATTTGAACTCATCTGAATTTCAAAATCTTTTCAAAAAGGTCCATAATGTTGCAAGCTATAAATTGGATAAGCTCCAACTAAAAAAGGGAGAAATATAAATTTTAATGAAAAAGCAAGTACAATTGAGATCTTGGGATATCTGTGGCTGTGATTATCTTCTGACATGGAAGGACAGTTGTTAGTGAACAGGCAAAAGATCAGTATGCCTCTTTGTTAATGCATAAATCCTTGACATCTACATTGTATTTTTGTATTATAGAAATGCTATCACATAAAGACCGTTTAACATCATTTTACTCTGCACTTTGTGCCACTTACCCTTTGTGTGACACCAAAGTTCTTCACGTTGAGCCAACCTGGACTACAGAATTTAATTGATAGTCTGAAGACAGAATGTAGGCCTATTATCATATTTTAAAAAAAAACACCTTCAGTATTATGTATAATTATTCTTTTTATTACAGATGATGTAATTTAATATCCTAGAAATGTGTTTTATAAATTTATAATTGCTTAATTTGTAATTTTCTACTTTTAATATATGGCACCAAAGAGCATGTTAAGTACTAGGCTATCTTATAAGCTTTTGGAAGAAAGTAAGAAGTTTGAAACTAGCACATTATGTCAAGAGAATCTTGTTGTTCAGCTTAAAAAATGGGTCTTAAACTGGGACAACAGAGTATTTTGTTATAGAATTCCTTTGACACATAGGCAGTGCTATTTTTACAGGCAAGATCAGTATCACATCATTAATAAACTAGTACAGGATTATCACAAGACTGGGAACGAACAAATAGGCCAAGACAGATTTGCATGGACAATATTTTCAATGGCCATTATTAAGGTTCACAGAGAAGAAACTCGTATTTTAAGGCATGGTAAATGCTATCTCAATAAATGTTTATTTATTTTATTGTTGATCAGCTTCTATCTAAAGATGCCTCACTCAGAGTTGGTTTGTGAAATTTTAAAAGAAATTATCACTTGTACTGGAAATTTACGATTCATGTTTTCTTACCTCCCAAGCATGAGCATAAACATGTATGCAACATTACTTTGGACAAACCCCCCACTTTATGAAGATGAGCTGTGCAGAAAATTCTTCTGCTCAATTAATGAGGAGACATCTTCACAAAGCACTGAGTACAAAGATTTCTTTAAGCTCTCCCAACCATTTCTTCTTTACATTGTTCAGAATTTAACCTCTCTTCATTCATCACCATATTCTTCTGTGCCTTGGACTTTACATGAAATCATAAGTCAACCCATCCTTCCAGAACACAAGTTCTCTTGTCTTATTCTTGCTATCCAGTATAATGACAAAGTCTTGGCTAAGCTTCTACTGCAGCTGGGAGCACCAGCACACCGTTTGTATTGGGATGAACGCTCAGAATCTTATGTTTGTGCAGAGAGACTGATGATAACTTCCATTAACAGCATTATGGGATCACGTCAGTTTTTAACTGGCATAAATGAAAAATATAAAGCAGTGGCAGAATACATGGACAGGTTGGTGAATGACATCAGTTCTTATGCCCCCTACATGAGACGATCTGTCTTCTATTCTCAGTTAAGAAAAGCAACAAATTTCTGTAATGGAGAAGAGAGTATCTATGAACTTAACCGTGAAATAGCCGACCAGTGGGGTATAGGATGTGTGAGACAATTTCCTTCTCTTCAGCAAATGTGTAAAATAAACATCAGGCAGCAGATTCTTAAAGCAGATAAAACAATTCTTCCATCTGCTGTCAAAATGCTTCCTCTGCCATCAAAACTGATAAGATATTTAAATTTAGAATTGGACTGAAATAATTTTTTAAACAAAGCAATTTTAATTTTCATTCCAATTCCAGTAGCTTATTCTGAACATAATTATATATATTTAAAAAAAAAATATTTTAAAATGTGTTCTTCTTGATATTAAAATCAGAATAAGCATTAGAGAAATGCATATACATATACCAATACCCTTATGTACAATGATGAAATCAAAAGGGATTTAGTTTAATTGAATTTTTTAAAAATGCAATATTAAATTATTATAGTTATAGTATTTATTTATAGTTATATTTTTATCCTATTGGATAAAAAGTACAAAATAAGAAACTTATTGTGGATAAAAGAATTTTATGTGATATTTTACTATTTTTATTCAGTGCTCTCCCAAAAATATTTTGCCACCAAGTTTACTTTAACTTTATGGGATGGTTCGGTGAGAAGTGTATGATTTTAAATATTATAGAAATGCTTAGATTTTAGCTTGTACCAGCAACTAAAATCTTTGAAAGAATTTTATTGTTAATAATGATGTGACTATTTATTATAAAACTTTAAAAACCATGTCCTTTCAAACAGAAAGATTACACATACATCATCAAGATTAATTAAGTACCTGATAGGGCTAACAAAACTTAATGTCACTGAATGTTAATTAATTTTGTATTAAAATATAGCTCCATAAATTATCATTTTTTAAAAAAAGAATTAACTTAAGATTTAAAGTTAAAGAAATATTATAATTCTATTTAAAACTGACTTCAATATTTCAAGTTCAATGCACTCATTTTACATATTAATCATCAGACATTTTCCGCTTGATTTAATTGTGTGCCTTAAACTTGATAAACTCAGTAAACAATAATGATTATATCTTAACTCTGAAACAGTATGAATTTTATGTTTCCTTACAATTTTGATAGTCCACTTTGCTTAACTATAAAAGTCAGCACTCCTAGTAATAGTATTGCTGATTTAATGGGTTTCTTTTTTTTTTTCTTTTTGTACTGTATATGTTTACTGTTTTAAAAAAACTCAGGAAAAGATTATTTGGGAAATTAAAAGTAGAATAAACATTTTTTTTAAGAAGTATGATAAAACATGAGACCATCCAAGAACAGAGTAATAAAGTCAACAAAGAATATTGGTGATTGTAATTTTATGAATTTAAAAAAGATTTCAATTTTTTTTTAATGCAATTTTTTCTTGGTTCATTATGAAATGTAAAAAGAGTAGCAAAATTTAATTCTCTTTTAAAAATTATCAGAGTCTATTGGTCTATAGTGTAAAAATATCTATGTTTTTCTATTTCTATTTGTAAGAGTTAAAAAACTCCATTCAACACATGTATAAACATAAGCAAAGTTAATTGCTCTATGAACTTTTCTCTTCAGCTCTGCCATTTACATTCAGTTAATTAAAGTTATTTAAACTTTGCACTTTTAAAAAATTAATCATCTATTGTATTTCATTTACTGTTTGCAAGACTTTTGTTCCGTGCAACAAATGGTATTTTTGTAGTGTACTGCTGAAAAGTGCTCCCAAGAGGATGCTGTTGCTTACATTTTATATTTAATATTTTAAATAATGGCATTGAGCGGAAAATAAAGATCAAAGATCTATTTATTTTGTGGTTTCCTTATTATTTGAAAAGTATTTGTTTTCTTGTTTACAACCGCTTAAATGATTGTATATACGTTGGACTTAAATTTTAAGTTAAAATAAGACACTAATTCACTAATGGAAGTAACATTGTTCATGCATTTGGCTTGGAAATTATATTAAAAGTCCTCAAGATACCTCATAGTATTGTTATAATTTAAATGAAATGTCTTGTGCTTTTACTTCCATAGAATTAAATTAAACTATGTTTATCAATTTATGGGAAGCTCTCCATTAAGATGACATGTTTCCTCCAAGAAGAATAAAAACTCTAAAAAAAAATAAACTGCAATTAAAAGTGAATATTACTACAGCCTGTTTTATATTTCTAACAGTAAGGAAATTAAATCTTTTCATTCTCACATCATAATTCTCTCATGTATAACAAGAAGAAAATAAGTCTTGTTAAGTGGTAAATGGCTGTACTTTTATATGTTTTGAAGATGATAATTGATACATGTCTTTGAAAAATCATTTTAAAAACATCTGATTTATTTGATGAACATTAATTGTTATAAAACTATTTGAATTAATTTTTTAATGTTAACACCCTTAAACCACACTAAAAGCATAAAATACAACAAGAACATGTCAACAAAAAAGAAACATTTTTAAAGACTGTCTTTCAGATTGGTGAATTATAGCTTCAGTTTTAAGTGGTGATAAATACTGCCGCAGTTTTAAAAAAACACTCTCATGGCAAGAAAATTACTTTAACAACAGAAATTTTACCCAAAATAAAATGTTAACTTATTAAACTGCAATTTCATAAATTTAAAATCCAGACCTGCTGTTTTGGTTGAGCCAAACTGTCACCAAAGATTTTGTGCTTGTCAATATTGTCATAGATTTAAAAATCTAATTGAAATGTTCAAAATCACGATACAATTAAGAGGTAAATATATATTATGTTCCTCATCTGTTCGTGTCACATAAATTTTGAAAATTTGATACTCATCCAAACATTATGAATAGTGAACAAACTTTCAGCAGTTACAGGTAATTATCTATAAAAATCATTAAATCAGCAGACACAAACAAAATTAGCATGCTAATATTTCAAACAAATACATTTAATCTGTAATTTGTAATGTAGTTATATGTTCCTGAAAAATTAGACTCCTCTGTTTTCTAAATCTTTGACCTTGTAAATTCTGACCAACCAATGTTCAGTGGTATATGCCTCTTCAAGGACATCCAACTCAAAATCTTTATTGCCTATCTCAGTGTTGCGAACTCTGTCATATCCTGTTGGTTTGCCTGTAAAAGTACAGAATGCACAAATCATCATTTAAATTTTTTTTTTAAAAATTCCTTATTCAAGTAATTACCCCAACCTTGCCAATTATATTAAACTTTCTGAGCCAGTGAGTAATATGCCCCTCTTAAATCCATCAAATACTTACCACCCTCAGTGTAAACAGAGCCAAATCTGTAGTAGCACATTTTGTACATAAGGCAATTTAAAAGTATAGGTGAACCCTCCTTGTCTACTCTAAACTCTCCTTGTGGTGTATAGTAATCCCACTCTTTGATGTGGCTTCCTCGATCAGTGCTGCCTCCAATACGAACCATCCAGAGAAATTTGTTGATATCTAAAGTTTAAAAAATACATGTGTATGGCTTTATATATTTCATCAAAAAGCACATGTTATCATGACAAGTGTCACCATAATTCTTTTAATTGAATAAACTCAAGTTATTTTATCAAACAATTTTAGTGTGCAAAACAACAACAAAATTACCATCTGAGGAATATCCAGTCAGACCACCAAATATTACAAGCACATAATTTACATCTAACTCTCTCATTATTTCATACGCTTTTTCCTCTGAAGATGCCATGGCCTGGAATTAATGAAATTAAAACTAATCAAACTAATGAAAACAAAATTGTGATTGTGCATGGTGAGAAATTGAAATGACATATTTTAATGAGGAATTTTAACTAAATTCTCATTTTTTTTATATGGGTACTTTATACAAATTGAGAAAAATCTAAGGAATCTGCCATCAGCTTAAAAATTAATAGCCCCCCCCCCCCCCAAAACAAAACAAAAAACCCAAGAGACTGGTTAATGCTTTAAATGCTCCAGAACAATAGAACGGACATTGACAATTTAGTTTCAACTTTCTATACCAGGATTATTGAAGATGAAAATTGGGAAATTATTTTTACACAGGGCTAGATTAATGAGACACAAACAATTTGTCTAAATAAAACAAAATGTATTAAGTTTTAATTATGATTAGACAAAATACTAATTCAAACATTTCAGTAAATGCCTTCATCAGCACATAACATTATAAAATTATAATTTAAATTACGTAATATATGTATATCTTACATATACCTAAAAAATTAAGGTAATGAATGGGCAAAAGTCCCCGACGAAAACAAAGATCAGAAGAACATAACGAAAGTTCTTCTGATCTTTTTTTCATTAAGGACTTGTGCCCATTCTTATTATTTCACTTCCTTTCAATTTTAGGTAAGTATCAGAATTAGACCTTAACATGTATTGTTTTATTTACCGGTACACAAATCTCATTAATCTACTTAAAAGCTTTATCCCAATATTAATCCTCTTATTACACAGGGCCGCACTGTTTAAACTGAAGATATGCCTCGATTTTCTTATTTGCTTCTGTTTTGAAATTTCAAAATGAACATTACCTGGGAAAGTTATCTAATATATATTTTCACATTGTCCAGATAACAGAATGCTGGTAAAAATGAAAAAGGTTTCCCATAATGATATTATTCCAAAAAAAATTTCAATAATGGAACATTCAAATTTATTATGAGTGCTTTATATACTTTCAATTGTCATAAATACACAACTGCTGCATATATGAGAACTAACCTGGCCAACTCTTGATATGTGTGTATTGTTCCATGTATTATTATCCACCAATATCGTCCTATTTGCCATAGCTGTTATCTGATATCCATAATCCCACCAAGACATCACTTTAGCATCCTAGTTAAAGAAAATTAATAACAATTGTAAGAAATATGTAAATTGCACACATTTTTGTGAAAGTTAAAAATTTAGTTTTGCTGTGTTCATGAATTTTTTAATTTTTTTTACAACTTTGAAAGTCCTTATTTTAACACAAAATATTATTATTTTAACACAGCATAAAGACCTATCCAAAATATTAAACTTTTGTAAGTTTTGAAGTAACTAAAAGAAATTAGGGAGTGAAGTTATTATTTTTTGTTAAATCTATTATGATTGGGCGTTAAAAATGTAACAGATTTCCAGCATTTTACAGTACTTCAAGGAATACTAAAAATGTATTTCCATTGTTAAAGTAGATAAATAATAAATTAGATTTCAAATATAGTGGTTAAAGTTACATGAAATTTATGTGAAAGTTATCAAAATCATTCATTCATATACACATGAGTAAAATAGCAAAATAAATATTCATTGTAAGAACTGGACATTTCAATGAATTTAATTTATTATTATTTTGTTTGACCATTCATGTACAACCATGAATGGCATTGTGAGCAGTGAAAGAATAACAGAACTTTTGTTCAGAGGCACTCAAATTATACAGGTTTATGACGCTAAATTCCATTACAAAATTAAGATAAGATCTTGCATTGGTACAATTAATATTACCTCAGGGGTGTTGTGTCTGAGCCAGTAATATGCCTCTCTAAAATCATCAAAAATAATTCTACTGCCATCACCACCTCGAGCCGAAAGAACAATTGAAGGCGAAGAGTATGCTTCAGATGTAACCCAGGTGCAGTGATAAGTATAATATAGCAGAAACACAGTCATTAAACAAACAACACAGGTTGCAATCTGTGGAATAATCATTATAATATTAATTTAACTCAAATATATACCGGGTATAAAGTTTTTTTGTTTTTTTTAAACCAAAGGTACTAATTGAAAAAAATTCAATACAGTTAAACATTATTCTCAAAAAAATGTTTTATGAATTTATTTATTTCAAAACCACTTATACGAACTTATACAAAATATCTCCCTTAACAAAAGGAAATATTTTCAATATAAAAGATCATATATCTTAATCAAAATTTTATTTAAAAGACTTTATAGGAGTAATGACCTCATTCTTAAGTGGATAGTTGGATTCAATCTTCTTGGCTGATTTTTTTTCTTTTCTCATGGGGTTGTCCAAGTTTTTCATGTAGGTTGTGAGCACAGCTGACATTCCAATGCCACCAAGAACACACATGACAGGGGCCAACACAAGCATGAGACGAACCATCACACCCTGTTAAAGTTACAAGGTTTTAACACATAATTTACTTTATTGTGTAAAATTATGTCAATTTGCTAGACATAATTGTAATAATCTGAGTAACCATTAAAAATTATCTCTAGACATACAGGATATACATTTATTTATATTACTAATTTATCATAGATATATATATAATAAAAAGCAAAATAAAAATGTATTGGACATCAATGCTGACTAGATTCAATATGTGTTACTCACAGCAAAATAAATGCTGGTGACACCATACATGATGATAAAGATGTTGGCATCTGTCAGTTTCACAAAGCAGTAGTAGAGACCAACAGGAAACAAAAACATGAGAAGCTGCAGATCAAAATAGAAAGAGCTCCAGGTGGTTGGCTGATGCTCAGAGACTGAGGCAATAATGGGGATGTTGTTTTTAGCATATGAAGGGTCCAGGAGGGAGTAGAAACGACCAGTCCATGGAGCAATTTCTTTGGTGGTGGTTAAAGAGTCAAAAGTTTTAAAGCAAAAAAGAAATTTAAAAATGTGGTTTGATTAAAAACTGAACAGATTATATATGTTACAAAATCGAAATGGGAAGAAATTACATTTGAAAAAAAGATTTAACTCTAAAATATGTAAAACTATAAATGGCTCATTATCAAAAGGATACTACCAAGAGCTGTGGCCACTGCAGCTGCAGCAAACACAACAGTGCCCACCAACAACACCAGACTCTTAAACAAAATGTTGAAATGTTCACGGGACATCTTGGAACGGAGGAAATCAACAAAGGCATGAATCTGGCACAGGCCAAACACACCCAATGCCTAATTGATGAGTTAAAAAAAATAAAATTAATGCAAAAAAGACGAGAAATAAAAGAAAAAAATAATAATATCATTAATATGTTTAAAAAAAAATCAATCAAGCTTCATAGTAGGCTTATTTCTTTGGTGAACAAGAAGAGGTTTTGCTCTCTCGTGGCAGGTCCCATAATTTAAAATTGATCAATGTGTACAAAATATATCAGACAATAAACAACATCATTAAAATGACATTTTTTTCTTTTCAATTTAATTTCTTTTTCTTGTTCATAGTATCTCACAAAAATTAGTTATTGATTATTGTTATGAAAAAATACAACTATATATAAATATCTCATCCCCACCCCTAACTTTGACAAAATTGAGTCCACACTTATGTAATGTTATTTTAAAGAAATAAATGTTAAACCCTTACAGCCATATGTTCACTTGACTGTACTGGCTGGAATCCTACAAATGAAATTTGCATAGACAAGATGGTTCCAAGGCAGTATACCTAGAAATTAAAGCATGAAAATTTGAAAAATAAACAAAACCATATGTACATTAGAAACATAATAACAAAAAGTTGTTGAATGCTTATTTAAATATAACAAACACTTTTTTTTTTTTTTTTTAAATTATTAAATCTAATATTAATTATTTTCCCCAGAAATAACAAAATAATCATGTATATCTTAAGTATTACCCCATGATATTCTGTCTTTATTTTCTTAAAATTAAAATTTCTTTAGCATTTACCATGGAGTTTTTTTGTGTGTGTTGCAAATTACATATCCACTTATAAATAAAGCTATTTATTTAAAAATTTCCTCACTGTGGAATAAGCCACATAGATGCGATGGGAGAAACGGCCAGTGATCATCAACATCAGGACATGAAGTGGAATCAAGTTGATAAGGAACACATAACCTCCCCATGAGGAAACCTGAAAAACATTTCCTAAAATTATAAACAAGTCCACAAATACAAAAAAAAAGTATGGTGTAAAATTAATAAGAAAAATAAAAGCAAGAAAACAGGAAGATGGATCAAAATTTATAATATCTGAAACTAACAACTATCAAGTAAAAAATAGAAGAATAAAACCTGTTATACATATAAATAAATGTGTATAAAACCTTCCCTTGAACCTACCATGTAAAAGTATGCAAGAGCGCATAAAGCACCCCAGAAAATAGAACCAGTCTTCACTGATTTGATCCAAAGGGCATAGGTAAGCAGCATGCAGAAAATGGCAATCCCTTCATTATCATAAGATCCAGCTACAGAACGCGAAATGTAGCCTGGAACAATGGCCAACATAGATGCAGCAAGAAGACCTGCAGAGGCATCCTGTATTGAGAAGAATCAAAACAAAGTGAATTAAGAGAATCTTTATCTTTAAGTAATCAATTTAATAAACTAATAGATTTGTTTCCAAAAGAAAAGGATTTTCACCCTCTGTGCATATTAACATCTCATGTTGGTGGTACAATGTGTGGAAATGTTTGAATTTTTTGTTATTGCTCTTTATTTTCTGGGACATTAATATTATTATTTTTCTTAAACTTAAGCCATCACTTGATACATTTATTTTTAGATTAACTTTAATAAGATTCATAGCAACTTCTTCAAACACATTAAAAATACTAACCCTGAGTTCCTTTGTGAAATAAAATGTTACAATGGTTGTAAAGCTGGAGAACAATGGAGCCAAAAACACACAGACATTCCTCACATCAATGGTCAGATGAAAAAAATTCATCACATGGTATATGAGGGCAGATGTCACCATCAAACCTGCACAAAGAAGAATGTCAGAGCTTATATCTTTTTACTATAAATACAAATTAAAGATTTTCTGTAATGTCTGCTTAAGTCCCAAATAAATCTGAATTGTAAACATCAGCTTCAGGACAAATAAAGAGTAACTACAGCACACAGTTTTCTAAATATTAATTCAAACATCATAATTTATTGTGTTAATTGTAAGAACATTAAATAAAACCTTGGCACAAAATGAAATTCATTAATTAACAAATCATGTCCAATGAAGTAAAATAATAGCCAACATTTAAAATAAATTTTAACAGACTCTCTGATCAAGCACCTGAAATTAAAAAATCCACATGAAGGAGATCCACTTACCTGGATATATGGTGCCTCCAATAATTCTTCCAAGTGGGTACCAAGCTCTATCATCGAACCAGTTGTGGAAGTTGTAGAATCCTTCATCTGCCAGAAATCTCGTGGTGCGGTAATTGAAGTAAGGATCAAACTCGTGAATAACACTTTCAAATCGCAACACAGAGAAAAGGCGAGTAGAAAATGCTGAGGATTAAAAATCATTTATGAACTGGAAAAAAATCAGTATTTAAGGACTTGTATTGAAATTCGTTGTTTCCAATAAGAAAGTCTTTCTTATGAGACAATATTATATATAACTTTATATTTAACATGAACAATTTTATATACTGTTTAATTAAATAATTTAATAAAAAAGAATTAAAGTAAAAAAAATTATTATCCAGACTAATTGTTCGTAAAATAAAAAATCTAGGGAAATAAGAAAACAATTAATGTAACACAAGTAGTAAACAAGCTGTATTGTTGTACAAATATTAACCAGTTTTGATCACAACCTTGATCTTGAACATCAAAGCATTGTGTTGTTTTTCGTGTGTCTATGATCTGACTCAAAAATGCTTGTCATGATTGTGGGGCTACATTGTAAATTAATGGGTAACAAAAAAATTGGATTGGGTATAACCCAATATATGAATATTCAAGTTTTTACTGTTGTTAATTACCAACATAAATGTTTAACGTACAAATGCATCTAATAAGAATGTGGTAGAGATGGAAAATATTTAAACATACACAAAACTGCTGCTACAGTTAAGATGACCATTTTCAGCAGGGTGTCCTGCTTTTCTGGAGCCATTCGCATAAGCCATTGTAACCCCCAAGCACCCTGTGTTTTCTTCATGATGCTTTGCCTGATTGAAACCAGACCAAAAATCTAAAAAATAAGAAATAAAAATGCAGGACAAAATAACTGGTTCAGTTTTAATATAAAATATTTTAAAGTTTTAATATCAATTTACATTAATGCATATCAATGATCCTTGAAACCTAACTTCTTTAAATATATGAACATAATAATAATAAATAATTGCAGCAGAGGGTTAAGTTGTGGGTTTGATCTTTTGAGTACAGTAATTATATTTATAGGGTTGCATAAAAAACTAAAACATGGCTTTGAATTTCTTAATTTCTAGGTCCAGTGATGTTTTTTACTACCAGTAAGAGCTTTTGAGTTTTTTCCTTTTTAAAAAGTTGTGTGATGCTATCACATTCCCACTGTTTTCAAGTTCTGTTAGGTCTGAGCAATAATATTTTCATTTGCCTACATCTATATAATTTTAAAATATTATATGTTATTATCTAATATAATATAGGTCTAATGAATAAATATTTTATAATTTTTTTTATTATTAACAGTTTATTATTCTTAGTATATACTATAGTATATAATTAGCCTTGCCTTATTGGTACCAACAGTCCAACCCCCCTCCCCCCCCCCTACTTTAACTGTGCCCTTATTTCTTATTTATATTCACACTACTGACAACAGTGCAATCGGATTTTCAAGACATAATACACTTATTTTTCTTTATTTGTATATATTTTATTTTATGTATTGCAGCTTATATTTTCATCTGACTGTGCAGTTTAAAACATTGATTCTGCATAGCATTAAAAAATAAATAGTAAATAGTGATTCGTTAAATTAATTTGTGTTATAGATGCACAATATACCAATTTAAAATGTTTAATTATACATAACAATATTGATGCCTTTATAAGTTAACGAGGGCTCAATTGTGTAAATAATACCCAGTAAACCTCCCAACAGAAAATCAATAATAGCTAATGGGGGGGGGATTTTGGGGGGGGGGGGGAGGGGTGTGTGTCACGTGACCATGTTGCTAAACAAAGATTGGCCTAAGCTTTTGTTATCATCTTTAAGCCTAATTATGTTATTTTAGTTTCATTGAACTTAAGTAACAAGATTTTTAAAATTTTTTAATATGAACACTTTGTATGCAGTAAAACTATTATTATCGTAATTATAGACTTATTTAGGCCTAAATATTTTAATGTATAATTGGAATCATAATAATTAGCACACACAATTTTTATAGCTGGATTTTATAAATTATATTTCCTTTTTTATTGCACATATTACTTTGGTCTTGGCAAAAAAAAGCTGGGTAAGATTTTTCAGACTCGAGACTATGATCCCCTTTCCCAAAGTATCATTCATCTATCTATATTAGGTCTATATTAGAAATTAAAGCTCAGATTTTCGTTCAATTTGATGGACTACCAATAGCTCTCTAGAGAAGCTATTTGGTAGTTTATTACAATATAGCCCCATATATAGAAACTTTAAAAAAAAATTACAGTTGGCAGAAAATGCAGCCTCTTCCTATATTATTAATATAAGGAGAGAAAAAGTGCTACCTGGGCCAGAACCCTCCACCCCCCCCCCTTTCCTACGCTAGTGACCCGAATAAGCATGAAACAGGAGTCGTTATTTTTTAAACTACTCACTGTTTAAGTTTAGTTAGGCCTAGAATCTAGAACTTCTAATAAAGTTTAGAATTATTATTTATTTATACATTAAATGATAGGCTCAAGTAAAACCAAAGTAAAAGGCATAGAGAATTATAATAACTGCTATTGACTAGCATTGAGGATAGGTCTACTTCGTTAGGAATGTGTTAACTGTTAATTAAAAACAATGAATGATTAGTACTAGTACTTGTCTTGGGATTAATAAATTAATGACGTTATTATTTATTGTGTACACTCACACTCTGACTTTTTACTGTAGATGCTTAGTCAGGTTAGACAACTTAAACTTTAAAAATACTAAAAATATGCAGATGCACTGACTCAGGGACTTTAACTAAAACATATAAGTGTTTTTAATGGATTGGTCAAGTTTGAAGTATGGTCCTATTACTATCACTATCATCAAATAATCATGACATCCCACCCATTGTCATGCTATAATTTCTATGGACTAAATCATATATGAGGTATAATGAAATGCATAAAAACGCTATGTCTTTAATTAATTTAAATAAATACTTCAATTTTAACTTACAAATGTATTTTTTACAAATAATTTTATTCACTATTTCTTTGACAGGTTGCAAAACTCTCTACGTGTGTACACGACTACACACCGGCTTTTGTAAAAAGATAGATGATTGGTTGATTTAGCGGAAGCGGATATGTCACTATTTCTTCATAACGAAAAACGAAACATTTAGCTTCTTACTTTTGTATTGTTTACATTCCAATACAACAACCACATGGCATTGACTTAGTGATAAATTCTTTTACAGGCTCTTTTCGCTTATAAAAAGAAAGAAAAAAGAACCAAACGGAAAGTGTTAACATTAATTTATATTATGGGGAAAATAAAAAATCAAAGAAAGCGTCTACACGACCAAATTAAAGAGCAGCAACATGTACAACCTGGTCAGAGTAATAAAGCAGGAAAAGATAGAAGACGAGTTGTAGAAGATATGGTTGGTAATTTTTTATAATTATTAATTTAATTAGCTTTTGGCTGCAGCTATTCGGACCCGGGTCCCTTTAGACTACCCTAAATGCTATTCGGATTTAATTTGTGGTAGTTTGAAGAAGTAAGTTTACAAACATGTAGTCTTATAACTTATACTTTATACTTATTATACTATTCACTATAAGTATAAGTGTCTTTTTTATTATAGTCCATTCATCAATAATCTCTCATACTGTCATTTTCATCATTTTGATTTGATACCGAATTTTGTCTTACAAACCCAACGCTAACGCAATAATAATATTTTATAACGAACCCAACCTCTCACTCTTTTCCAGGTCCAAATAGCCACTTGTTTTACCTTTAGTTTTATTAAGGCTACTCAAAGTTTTGTTAAAGTCAAAGATATGCTAGTCGCTAGTAATCTACTACATAAATTAAAGGATTGGGCTATGTTTTTTTAATGTCATTGTACTTGTACTTATTCATTACAGCACTTTTATAAAACAAATAATCCAAGGCAATTTTTTTAAATAGAAAAACTAAAACAATTTAAAAATAAAAAAAAAATAAAAAAAAGAAAGAAGAATTTAAACAATTTGGCATTTAAAAAATGGTGTTGATCCACCACAACGGAGTGTTTGTATATTATACATTCAGTGAAAACAATTTGGAGTTTGGAGGGATACATCATCTTTCTATGCACTCTTGTAACATGATCTGGCACATGATGAGAAAACAGCACCCACTCTCTCTTTACGCCATCGAAAAACCAGTTACCCTCTCTCTACTGACCACTGCCCAAGCGGTAGATTTCAGATACACTTATTCAATTGGCTGTAGCTATTGGTAGTAAACTACCAATATATTAAATACTCTAAATTACAATTTTAATAAAAATTAAATTTATGTTAGGTCTTTTGAATCAACAGACATTTCGCAAAAATAAGATAAGATAAGATTTTTTTATTGATCCAAACAAATGGAAATGCTTTTTGATTGCATTGTTCATTTTCAGCACATAAATAAAACAATTTGAACACGAAACATCCACATTAAATTATTTCCCTAGTGTAAAAAAAACAGCCATTCAGTGAATTCTCTTAGCCATATCAGGGACTTATTAGTTCTCCATAAGATTTGTGACTTCAGAAGAGCATTATGGAAAGCCGAAGTAATGTAGAAGTCAAGGTTCTCCTGCAAGAGAAGTGCAGCTAAGACTACCATTCCAGGATCTGCCTCATAAGCTTTTTGAGAAAGTGTCAATAAGTTAGTCCATTGTTTTACAAGGCGGAAGAAAGGGTGCCATATATTGAATCAATTATGTGTCTATTACATATCTTTAAAATTCTATGTAATTTTTTTTTTCAGTTTGTTGATGAAAAATTATCCAAAAAGATTTTGGCTCAAGCTCGTAAACAAGGGGAAGATTTGCAGAAAGAGATAGATGGGTTAGTTATTATTTACTTTTCTAGGGTCATACCAGTCACATAAATGGCTTCTTTTGGAATTCCAAAAATGAACTTTCTTAAAGAGGTATACTTTAAGGATAGTATCATTATGTAATATAAGGATTTAGGATCCAAGCCTGAAAAAAAAAAAGTATTTTCTCTGGTTCAATGCTTTTTTTGTTGTCGCCAAGCTAACATTGTCAGGTGAGAGACATCAAACAGTCTAATAATCTCTAGAACAACTCATTTTATTTAAAAGACTAAACCTTAAAATGATAATCTACACCGAAAATGTTACTTGTGGTCTTTTAATGTCTTAAGTCTTGACTACTGTATTTGCTCAAAGCCACCTTTAATTTAGGCACATTCGGGATAATTATATTCCATTTGTAAATTCATCATTAAAGCTGAACATGTAATGTTTTAATTACATAAATTGTTTATGTCTGCTTTAAAGCTTTATCACAGTCCAACACTCTTATAATTATTTAATTATGTTCCATACAATCATTCCTGAACATATCCTGGAAAAGAAGCTAACAGTTTTGAATATAACTGACATTGTGGTTTCTGACCCATCCCTCGCCCATCTTTTTTATCTGTATGTTCTGGAAATTGACCTGTTTCTTAAATTGATAAAATATGTTATTTTTTTACTTTAAGGCATTGATCTTTCTCAACTTGGCACTTTGTGTCCTGGCAAAATTTAGTTTGGCCTCCATTGTTAAACTGAAGGATATTTCCAATGCACGTAGCAAAAAAGCTTAAAATTGTACAAAGGATAGAAGCTTGTTGAATTAAACTTGAGCGTTATGTTCTTTTTATTCAAATGCTCAACAATCCTATTCTACTGCTGCATATTTGAAACGCAGACTTGTAAAGACTATTAATACATTTTTTGTGGTAATTTTCAGTGTAAAACCAAAGGCAAAGCAGACAGTTCCTAAACAGTTTAATCTTGGCGGTGCCTCTCATGCAGACAGTGATTCTGATGATGAAGAGGCCAACAAACACTTGTTTGATAATTTTAGCAGCTTGGAAAAAACTGTTATGGTAAGAGAATTGTACTAGGTTTCTTCAAATCGCAGAATCATAATTTGGGTAAAACACCATTTGAGTTTTCAGTGGTGTTCAGCAAATAGCTTTGTTTAATCATACATACCAAACTGTGGGGTAAAACTGTACAGAAAGTCCCCCCAAAAATGTGCAACAGCATAAAAAACTACAGAAACAAATGAAAACTAAAAAAAAACAAAAAACATTTGTGTCTAGGTATTAAATGCATGCTTTAAAAATGAAATATCTCCCCTTTGTAGTGGCACATTTTAATCATGTTTACATTTACATCATTCATTAATGGGTAGATTTGTTTTATTTTCATCAAATTTTGAGTAAATTTACACTTCTCAATAGCAAATTGTGTGCAAAATGAACTCACATGATGAGTTTGATAGTAATTTAGATGTCATTAGAAATAATTCTTTGGTTAATTATACTAGCTGTAGGAGTACCGATTCCTGTATTTACATTAATGAAATAATATATTGTCATCTCAGTGCTGACAAAGTTAAAGAGTTCAGTTTAGCGTCAACATCTAACCTCCTTTTTACACTCTAAGGTACTGGAAGAAAATATCATGAGGATAGACTTTTTAAAAACTCTGTGTGGATAGTTAATAGGAAGTTTCCAGCTTGAGTAAAATAATAATTACAAAATAATAAAATATATATAGCCTAAAATTCTCACTGATTTCAACTATAAATAATGTATACTTATAGAGTGAAGAAGAATAGATTACTTATAGTAGCTACTACCTTACTGCTCTGCCTTAGTTTCAATAAATGATATTAATGAAACCGCACTCAGTTTCTAATTTAGATGGCAGATGAGAATTAAGCTTCCTGTTGTCTAATATTTCTTTTTTAAATCCAGTGAAAATCTTTACAAAAGCCTTACAGCAGTACACCTCTGCAATTGTATAAAGTATGGGTAAACCATTAGGCATGTATGGTATAATGTTAATAACTTTGCAAAATTTATTAAGAGATTTTTTTTGTTGTTCTGTTTTATCTGTTAACTTAAAGTTTATTTTGTACTTAGGAAATTAATGATGAAGATGAAGAAGACTTAAGGAAGTTTATGAATCCAAATCCAAAGCAAAGAAGAACTTTAGCAGATATTATCTGTGAAAAGTTGGCTGAGAAAAAAACTGCCATGTCAGGTATGTACATACAACAACAAAAATTATTTGCCTGAAATGTCTATTTTAGTAGACCAGATGTAGTAGTTACTACTTTTCAGACAGTACTTTGAATTTAAAAAAGAAATCATCCTTAAAAAAATGTAACTACCTGAAACCTAAGGGTATTAGAACATGTTATGAAGTTATACATAATTTTGACAACAAATTTCCTCTAATCATAATGATAAACAACTGAGGGATCCAAAAATTCATATTGTTATAATAAATTCTAATAAACAAATGAGATGAAGTATTCCAACTGAGATGGTTTAATGTTAATGCAACAGCACACCCCTGTCAGTTCTAGTATATAATCTAGATCAGGGGTGGGAAAACTTTGTGTGCATAAGGGCCACATTGACTCATGAAAAGCTATTGGAGGGCTGCATATATATTTTGCCATATTAGCATTACATTACGAAGGTCAAGGACTATTTACAAAAATAGAAAATTGGAAAGAAATTTTATTTTAAAAAATTTTTAAATCATAACAGTACATGAAATTCTGTAAAATTGAACAAGATAATTTAAAAACTAAGTAATTTTATTATATTTCTAAATGCCCTCGGGGGCTGCATAACATCAGATGCCGGGCCGTAGTTTGCCCACCCCTGATCTAGAGTATCAATTTTCTTTATTTATTTTTCCTCATAAGCAGGTAAAAAGAAATAATATACAATGTATATTTACTTTTATCCGAATAGAAATGATGAGTGAAGTCCACATTGAAGAGGATATTGATGAGACAGTGAGAGAACATTTCATTAAAATTGGAGAAGTCTTATCACACTATAGAAGTGGGAAGCTGCCGAAAGGTTTCAAGGCCATTCCAAGCTTTCCTAACTGGCAGCAGGTTGGTTGTATTTTATGCAGTTGTTTAAATAAAATAAATCAATGTTAAATTTACCCCAAATCTAACTACAGTTGATGAGGATGAACCTTAGCGAATTAATTTATTTTACTCTGTTATCAGTTTTTAAAATAATTTTTTTTTTGTTGTACTAGCTTTTAGAATTGACCAAGCCTGAAAATTGGACTGCTGCATCTGTTTATGCTGGAACAAGAATTTTTGTATCTAACCTGCCAAAATATCAATTTAAAGAGTAAGTGTTGATAAATTTTAATATGTAGAGCTATTTTTCTTAAGAATCTTTTTTGGGTTGCAAGATCAAAGGAAAAACATGATATTTCAATGTGTTCTAATTTAATCTACTTTAATTTGTTGTGTGTCAGCTTTGTTAAGATACTAAGAATGTTTTCAAATTTATTCAATTTTTTTCCAGTACAAGTTTCCATTTTTAGTAATTACAAAAAAACAACTAACTTACAAATTTCTATTTTATTTTAGTTTTTGTTCACTGGTCCTTTTACCTCGTATCAGAGATGATATATTGGAATACAAACGTTTAAATTTTCACTTATTTCAGGTAAGTTGATATCATAAGGAATAAACAATTAGTATGTTACAATTATAATGTGCAGGTTAAAAAAGTTATTATAATTTTTTTTCATTAAAAAATAACAGTCTTTATTGGCAGTTTAACAGTTTTTAAAGCTTTATTATGTTCAAAAATACAAATAAAAAAATTATTTGCAGGCTTTGCACAAAGGTATATACAAGCCAGGAGACTTTTATGAAGGAATAGTGTTGCCCTTGTGTGAGGTAAATTGGTTTATTAATGAGTTAAATGTATTTATTTATAATAATTAATTATGTCATGATTGATTAAATGTCATAATCCATTTTTTTTAAAAATTAAATATCATGCAATGTTCTTTAACCAAAATATTTTCATGCCATTTGTTTAGGCTGGTGACTGCACATTGAGGGAAGCAACGATTGTGGCTGGAGTTGTCTCTCAAACATCTATACCAGTAGGTTACTCTGCTGCAGCACTCATTCTCATTTCAAACATGGACTATAATGGAGCCAATAGTATTTTTATGCGTGCAATTCTGAACAAGAAGTACTCTTTGCCACTAAAAGCAATAGATGCTGTTGTAGAACATTTTGTGAGGTAAGGTTTCAGTGAATTGTAAACAGTGTTTTTATAGTGCAGCGTTTCCCAATCATATTTTTACCTGACTTTTTTTTTTAATACTTCTCCTTCATGCCACTCTAACATTTATGACCTATAGGTGCCATATAATAGATATGAATCTCCTCACAGTTTTCATATATTATAAAAAAAAATATACAGGACTGTAAAGAAATCAAACTTACCAATGATTTATTAATAAGAAGCGTGATGCTGTTTCTTGGTAAATAAAAAACTCCAGGTTTGGAGAAAAAGGATGATAGCTTTATTCTGAGATCCATTTCGCCTTCAAGTCGGTTTTTATATTTATTTTGTAGGAAAACCAACGTTGAAAAGCCTGTTACACACACTTGTTAGAAATTCTATCACCTTTTCTGATACAAATGGGTATTCAAGATGACAGCACAACCAAAAATCCATCAGTGGCATTCTGTCAAAGATGTCTTTGAGTGCTGTCTTACAACACATTTCAATTATAGAACCAATATCTGTTTTCATGTTCACTGTAAAGGGGTTTCTTATCCATGCTTTGTTAATGTTGATTGGGGGGAAATATTCCTTCAGACTTGTTTCTAGTCCTAGCGGATAATTCTTGATAGCAGCTGAAATCTCATCCGGCATGGAGGCCACTTTATACTCCATTTGTGATTCTGTTAGCTTTGTAAAAGATATGTCATTTCCTGCATCCTTGTGATGGGACCAAACATCAAGTTTTTTTGCTGCAGTTTACATTGTTACCTTGTAGTGTCAGATTTATATTTTTTTTAAAAATCCAAAAGGTAGGCTACCTTGATTAACATATCGACTCATAAAATTGTCTTATATTCAAATATTGTATCCTTTGGAATGAAGGTCCTAGAACATTAATACTTCTTCCTTCATTTCAATAAGTCTTTTAAACATTCCCTCTTGATAGCCAGCACACCTCCCAGTGTAGAAGAAGATGTTCATGCTGACTCTCCATTTGGTGCACAATGCAGGGGATATTCTTGAATTCAGTGGATGAGATTTTATGAAGTTTACAAATTTTACACACTCTAGCACAGTTGCAGTGGCATTTTTTTTTATGACCAGTGCTTCTCTATAAATGCTACGATGCACCCATACACAGTCCGGTGCTATGGCTTTGATCCTCAAAACAAGTCCAGTAAGAGCGCCCCATCGCTACTCATACTCAGCCTGACACATTGGTTCCATTCAATGCCATTTTAGATGTTATAAATTTTGGAAGTATAAATCAATTTTTCAGCTTTTTTTTCTTGTCAGAATTTACAAATGGGGAATTCTTTATGAGTTGTTTTGTCAAAATTGTATCGCACAAAACACATTGGCATTGTCTGATATGTCTGCATTTTCATTGAATGGAATTTTAAATGACTTTAAAAATTTCTTCTATATTATCTGCCATCTCCTTCTTCGCTTCAGTGGCGTAACAACGGCTTAGGATTGGGGCATTTGCCAAGGGCGCCACTAAATCTCTAATTTTTAAATTTTTATTTATACAAAAGGGCGCCAAAAATAAATTAGCCAAGGGCGTCAAGAACCCAGTTACGCTCCTTCTTAGCTGCACCATATTATCTGACTGTGCCAGCACATTTAATTAGTCCACCTGTTTTTTTATCTCATGCTCGAGATGCTAGCATTTTCATGGCTGGAGCTATTGATTTCATCATTTAATATTGATATTTAATAAGAAGCCATTGCAAGGTTTTCAGATCAGAGTCCCAGGAAAAATTCAAGACCATAATCTTTTTGGTACAGTAGCTATTAATTCTCTTCTATTTTTATCTACTGCATTACTTCCTGTATTCCTAAGGGTTCAAATCCAAGAGCTGCTTCAGCATCTTTGATGAACCCCAATTTTATTTAATCCTTAGAATACTTTCAGGTTCAGGTCTCCTTCTTTTTTATTAAAGTAGTAGAGTGCACATCCTGCTGCCGTTTGTTGGTGACATTCTCAGAACTCGTGTCCAGCTGCACATCAAACAACTGTCTGTTGATGCCACTCTAAGAACCTTGAAAACATCCGCCTGCACATCACTCCATTTTTCATCATTGCTATTCGAAGAGTTTGTAACTGGCTCATTATTCTTTTATTGTTTTATTATCCATCGACAAACTAAATGTGAGTAAAGTGATTAGTTAAACCATAGAAAAAATATGCCTCTCTCTACACCTAATTTAAACCATACAAACTGAGTAAGTTCTGATGGTTAAAACAAAAGCCAGATGATTGGAGCTGTGGTCATGCGTCTGTCCCAACATTGCGGTCCTTCAAAACTAAGTTGAACACACATATTTTTTGCACTCACCTGCTGGGGTGATGTAGTGTACCTCTTTGTTTCCAGCTTGCTCATACGCCTCGATGTAGATTTTTTATTGTTGCGTTTTGTATTTTATTTGTGGAGAAATATAAATTGTCATATATAGTTGATTTTGTACCCCGCTTCGAACCTTATTGAGGGTTAAAGCGTGTTTTTGAAATAGCTTTATTATTATTGGTCTATTTTGCCACTAACAGCAAGACTAGTGATAGACTCTAGGGCTATGGTTAGAATCAGTCTGCTTGGAAAAATTAACTATAATAGGCCTATCCCTTGTAAGTCACAATAATCTAACCTATATTTTCAACAAATTTTTTGTCTTCTTTTAGCAACCCGGTAATTTTGCTTTTGTGGCCTGGTACCAGGTCGCGACCTGGCATTTGAGAAACGCTGATCTAGTACATTAAGTTGATTAAGTACTTTAAAAAAAATTATATTGTTTTTGTTTAAGTCAAAATACTGAGTCTGGCAGATGGGCTCCTTAATATCTCTAAATTACATTTTTCATCTTTTCCAAGTAAAAGTGTAGTCTCCATCTTAATATTTGTAATAATTTTTTTTTTTTTTGACATAAATATAATTATTTCAGTTTATTTAATTTTATCTCACTTTTTCCCCCTTTCTTTTGCTCAGGTTTATGGATGTAAATGAGAAAATGCCAGTTCTATGGCACCAGTGCTTGTTGACATTAGCTCAGAGATACAAAAATGACCTGACAAAGCAGCAGAAGTCACAGATATTAAAGTTGTTAACACTACATGAACACCATGAAATCACACCTGAAATTCGAAGAGAAATCACACAGAGTAAAAGGTGTAGAGGGGACCCTGAAATTGAAGATGATGACATAGCTGCTAATTAACAGTAGAGTGGTTTCAATGGGTTTGTGCATATTATAGAAATAGATTAAATTTAAGTCTCATCATGTTACATGCTCCTCTGTTTGTTGTGTAATAATTTCTCCTGAAAGATTCTTGTGTGCTAATTTTCAGTATGGACATGAAGTCTGAATGATAATTTAAGTGGTTACATTTCGAACCTAATGAAGCTATTTAATTTTATATTTTCTTAATGGATTGCCCTATTTAAAATCAATTGTCAATCAAGTAAATAATTTTAAAAAATCATTTGGATTTGTAAAGATGTCAAGTTTTCTCAGCATTTGTGTTAATGTAAATATCATGCAAATGTAAATAAAGATTAAAATATATTTAATGTTGTTTTTTTTTCAATTTGTCCAAGGTTAAAATTTCAATTGATTGCTGTTGAATAAAATTAACAGAAAATTTGATGCATATATTGAGTAGTACGGGTAACTGAAATTTATGTTTGATATTAATACAAATTATTAAGATTGCTTTGAACACAGCCATACAAACAGAAATAGAAGTTAAAAAAACAAAATTTTATTTACATGTCATTGAAGGAAATAATGTATTGGCCCTTAAAATAATTAGACAAAAACAATACAACTTATGAGTAGTGCATACAATTACAAACCAGCTACAGTTATCAACAATTCATAGAATATAACAACAATAAATCACCATGCCAAAACTTTCCTCCTATTAGAAAATAAGACAGTAAAATTCTATTTATGGCTGACACTAAAGTAATCCTGTTTAATAATACTTTACTATTAATAAAAATAATAGCAAATGCACCTTGAAAAACAAAGTAGCATATATTCATATGTTACTAAAGTACTAGTCAATTTGAATTTTAAATGCAAAAGAAATAGTTAATATAATGATCTACAAATCTAATGACAGAACTAATTATTAAATTGAGGTTTGTCAAGAAAAATGAATATAATTAATTAATTCAGCTTCCTAATCAGTATTTTTTTTTTGTCCACTCGTTATTTTAAAGACAAATTCTACATTTAAAAATTGTTCCTTATTTGTGTACAGTACCGGTACGTAAAATGTTGATTCAGTTATTTATACAAGGTTTATATAATTTTAAACAAAATAAACCCTTTCCATTTAAAATAAAGTGTCTTTCAATGATAAAGTAACTGCCCTGGCCATAAAATATCTTTATTTTATCCCCATTCTGAAGTAAAGACCAGAAACCAGTATTTTAAACCTTTAAGCTACTTTTCAGTGTTTAAAATTAAGGCTTCCAGACAGGTCTAGGAGTATTTGTTCTGCTTCCATTTGTTCTGGATGATCTAAGTGCTGAAACAGGCCTAGATGACTGCTCTTTTGACATGTCTTTTATTACATCTTGATTACCACTGTAAGGATCCCAAAGATAGGGTTTTGGATTTCTCTTCTCACCTTTTTTCCTTTCATTCCAAGGTGCTTCAAAAGAAGGCTCCTCCAATTTAGAACCAAAAAGAGTTTCATCAACAAAAGTAGGAGTGTGTTTAAGTTGCCGAAAATTATTTTTAGTACTCCATAAGTAAGTTGAATCATTAAGACTTGATTTTGTTTTGGTCTTTTGTTTAACTAGAGAAGTCTCAGATGGAGGCGGACACCAAAGTAATGGAGGTCCTCTTGGTTTTGGGTTGGCTTCATGTTTTATGGCAGAGGGTCCATATGTGTTGCGGGGAGCTGGTGGTTTAGGATATTCCCATGGCGCTTTGAAGTTGGCAAATGTTTCATCTAACTTCGTGGAATAATGGGAACTGAAAGCAGAAAGATTTTCAGATGTTCAAATATGGATATAAATATAAAAAATAAGTATGGTATGAGCACGCAAATAGTCTAATAAAATGGTAAAGCTAAAATACAACAAAATCTGAAAATTGCTACAAACCGAAACAAAGATTCATCAACTGCTGAACTTCTTGACAAAGTATGATAACCATGTTTTGCAGAATTAGGCCTGTAACTGTAGCTGCCTAGGGCTGAAGGTGGCCTAGATCCGGTGACTACAAAACCATCATTTGACATTGTAGTTAAGATTAATCAAAAATGGTTTGTAGTTTGTTCTGAAAAAGTAAAAAATACAAGATATTGAAACTAGTCTTAACTCAAATAGGAAGAATTAAATTATTAGAAAGTAAAAAATTAAAATGCAGTAATAAAATACAATTATTACAGTACCAAATAATGTAAAAGGCTAGGCCAAACTTCTGAGTTCTCAATACAATAATCATAAAGTAAGTTAAGTGATAGACAATAAAATGTTCATTTTTTAAATAGTTATTATTATTACTAGAAGTACAGTAGGAGAAGAAAAACTAAGGCTTTTAAAAATTTAATTCAAATAATAAGGCTTTAGTTATACCTGGGGTAGGCAACCTTTTGAGACGGAAGAGCCAAGAGTTACAATTTTCAAAATTTCCCAGTTTTTAAAGAGCCACTAAGATTTTTATTTCAACATAATTATTAATATTTGCGCATAGAACTGGAGAGCCGCATCTTGACATCAAAAGAGCCGTAGGTTGCCGACCCCTGAGTTATACCCAATGGATTTCAAAATATATGACTTTTAATATTAATTAAAGAGAAATTTATTGGTGTGGGATGAATGATAATCACTAGGCCTCATAACCGTTTCTTGTGTCATTCAGTTATTCATATTATTCATAACTAAAATAAGATATCATCGATAATTGCCATTATTTATTTAATAGATTATTGATTATTCTAATGAAATTAATTGAATGCTAATTCAACTAACTAGGTTTATACTCATAATATAGCATATTAATATTTAAGCCTCATTGGGCATTGATTTAATTGTCATCAGTTATTGAGTGCAGTCGATATCATAAGGGGCTATCCATAAATGACGTCACATGTCTAGGGGGGCGAGGTGACATATTTTTGTGACAATGTGTGATTGGGGGGGGGGGGAGTGCCTAAAGCAATGTGACATCACATGAAAAGTGGAATATTATAGTAAAGTATTGAAATTAATAACCCTAAATTACAAAAAATTTTAACATTATTCTTTTATACAAAAAGTATAAATATTTTTTTTTTAAAACAATGTGTGATTGGGGGGGGGGGGAGTGCCTAAAGCAATGTGACATCACATGAAAAGTGGAATATTATAGTAAAGTATTGCAATTAATAACCCTAAATTACAGACAATTTTAACATTATTCTTTTATACAACAAGTATAAATATTTTATTTTTAAACTACTATCACTGAGAGAATCAGTACAGGTATGCGAAGTCCGAGATTGGCCTCTGATCAATTTACATGCCACCACGAGGAGAAGAAAATGGGTGTAGTGACTTTGACAATAGAGAGAATTTATGTGGCGAGTCATAGAATTAGGACCACCACGTGAAGTGGGATGGAACAGGAAAAAAAAAGGTTAACGGGGGGGAGGGTCGATCTTAGTAAATGCTCTAGGTCAGAAATTCTTAACATCTTCGCAGCGCTGCAAGCCCACTCTGTTTTAAACATTCCCCCCTCCCCCATCCGTATAAATTATATTGTAATAAAATTTAAATATGGAAATAATTAAACAATTTAGTTATCTTAGTTTTATTTCTTTAATTTACTTTTTAACAAGGAAAATATTACCAGTAAAAGTAATGTGCAAACAAAATTCAACAGAAAAACATTAACTGCTGCTTATCAAAATGCATAAAACTGATTTTTTTTTATAAAAAAAGCAGCAACAACTAGCAATGGCAGCAAATACAATTTTCGGGTCTTCCACACCTTAGGGCGGGGAAGGTACTCTTACCCCTGGTTAAGAACCACTGTTCTAGTGAAATGTTTCTGACACAGGTGCAGTAATTATATCCATGGGAGGTGTATTTCTTAAGGGTTTGTAAAAGACAGTAGTGGACACAGGGATTTTTTAGGGAAAGGGATGGGGTTGCAGAGATTTGTGACGTTATATTTGAAGGGGGTCTATCTTTTTGTGACAATTTGGGGAGGGGGATAAAAAAATCGGCAGAATTTGCATGACGCCATTTATGGATCGCCCTTAACCGCCAGTTAATCAGTCAGTGCGACATTCAATATTAATTGAAAAACATTACATAATAATAATAATAATAAAGTTTATTTGAAAATTACACTTCATCCCGCAAGGCTTGAAGCTCGGTTCATAGTCTAGTATATTAAAAGAGAAATGAAACAATCTATAATATACCACATTGAAATACAAAATGCAACATTGCAAAAACTATATACGAGAATACCCATTCTAAGTCTTTCATGATTCATACCTAACAACCATAAACAACACAGGCCAATACACATCCACAAGATAATTAATAGCTAGATAGACAACATCATCCCAGCATTAAGCCCATCTTTTTTCATAAGATCATAAATAATATAATGATAGATTATAATTTAGGTACATGCCAAAGATTATTTCAGTTAGTAACTTTAAAGAAAAAGATTGATTTTCTTTAGAATTTGTTAGGCCTAGCCATATTCTTGTGCCATGAATAATGAAGAGAATGAACCTGGAACTAAATATAATATATATTATTACTTAGTTACTTAGGGATTAACCAGGTGCAGTATTTTTTTCCATAAATTTGAGTATGAGAAAATACATAGTGGGTCCAAGTGTTACAAAAAAGAGTTATATTCTCATTAATACGTCTATAATATACGTCAGCATTTAAACAATAGCCCTACAGTACACTGTAAGTTCACTAGCAGCAGAGTACAGTAATATAGTAAGAAGAGTAAACTAAGTAAGAGTAAGAGTACGTTTAGTAAGTGTAAGTGAAAGTGTAAGTGTAAGAGTAGTGGTAGAGTTAGGATGAAATTTCAACTATATTTTTATTGCAATAATATCACAAGGAAACCGCATTATTTTCCTCTTTTTCTTGTTGTAAATAATCATTTTAATTGGATGAAAATAAAATAGGAAAGTGTATACCATGTTCAGACATGCAGAATGTGAGTATGAGAAGTAGCCATGTTTGTTAGCGTGCATATCAACCGTACACTAAAAATGTTGGATATGTTAAATATTGGAACTTTTTGTTTAACTTGACTTATAAGTATGATGTAGGTGTATAGACGAAAATAATTTGTTCAATTTTAATCTAAAAACTATTTTAGGTAAAATATATTTTTTTACGTTAATTTATATTATTATTAATAATTTTCATTAAAAATTGAAATTATTAATTTTAATTTAAGCGTTAGCCGGAAGCTTCTACACACAAAACACGTACATTTTTAGTTTTGCCCAATCAGTGCTAGCCACGACAGTCAGCCCTAACATTAATGAAACGAAAGTAATGTAAAAGAGACTATTGCCGATGAGACGGTATATTGTCACTTTCACTGGAACATTTTCAAGCAGCAAATTTAGCGCTCTTCTAGTTTGACATTAAAAGCGTTGACAAAAATATAAGAGATGTTAGGTATGTCTGCATTTTGTGTCTGTTTAGTTTAAAAATAAAGGCTTAGGCGGCGTCTTTTGTTTTCGCCGCCGTACTTGACACTCTCACTCGTAGTATTCGTACGTAGCGGTAGTATGTAGAGACGATTGACAATGACACGCAAGTTTGAGGTAAGTCCTAAGTCTTCATCCAATATACAGATAGTCCTTAGCAGCTGTAAAGCCGCCGTAGACGTAGACTTAAAGAAGGCAGAGTCTTCGTATAATAAATCACCATAAATTAGTATGGTGATATTATTAGGTTTATCACAATTATTATCTTTAAATTTAAAATATTTAAATTCCAATTTTAAGTAGTATCCCCTCTAGGTACTTTGATTAGAAAATTAAAAATTTTTGTAAAAATTAACCAATGCCAATGGCGTAGTTGAATAGAGCAAATTTTTTAAAAGAATTATAACACCAAAATCATATTTTTAGCTGTTGTAGTTTTAAAGTTATGAATTTTTAAAAGTATCACCTCCTTTGTCTTTGTCATTTTTCAACATGGACTGCATCTCCACATTCTGTGACCCAATTGGCAATTCCGCTGTTCGCGTCACTGTATATTTATATAGTCTATATAAGGACATACAATTTTCCTTATTTAACGTTAATATAAAGAAAAAATTAGCTTATTGGGCTTATTGGGAATGTAGTTCAACATTTCTCCTAATGTTAATGGGCGGAGTCAGGCCTTAATTATGGGCCAAAAGGACTCCTGACTCCTAATTTATTCAAATTACATGCACATGAAAAAATTAAAAACTTGGATTCTATTGTGCAGACACCCATTTCCGATACAAATTTACTAGGAGTGTCCCTTGCTTCGGCGGAGTACCTACCCTAAACTTTAGACTTTAGAAAAGAAAAATAATCTATATTTATTTGGATGGGACCAACCATAATAATATGAATGACGTCACAGTATTTTCGGTAAGTGAATGTGAAGAGATAGCACCTGCCGCGATCTGCGAACTAATTTATCCCTAAACCTAACCTGAACCCTAAATCTATCCCTAAACCTAACCTGAACCCTAAACTTATCCCTAACATGGGTTTTGACCCTATCAGAACCAGGGACAAAACACGCAAATGACATCAGGCAGGGTGCTATCTCTTCACATTAGCCGTATTTCTGTTACTCAATCATCATCTCTAAATCTGAATTTAGACACCTTTGCCTTATGGTTGTCATAAATTGATGTGTACATGATATATGGATGGCCCCAATTGCCATTTTGTTTTTATCCTGGAATGAAAACCTTTGTATTTAAATGGTTAACTTATTAAAAGTAATAAAATAATCAAGTAATCTTTAACAAATATGTCATATGTTGTAATGACTTGTCCTTTTACCTACCATTTCATTAAGATATTGATATTTTTTTGGCAGAGTTTCTCCTGAGTTTTGCTCTACTTGTGAGCAGTGCCCACTGCTTCTATGGGGCTGGTGATGATGTTATTGAACTAACTCCTAGTAATTTTCACAAGGCTGTAATAGATAGTAGCGATATTTGGTTCATTGAATTCTATGCTCCATGGTATGTAAAAGTGACTATAATTATAATGGCTTTATACTTTAACATTGTTATCATATTAATTTTACCTACTTAAATAAGATTAGGAGCAAATGGATTAACACTGAATGAATTTGAACACAACTTAATTGTATTTGTAAATAAAACACGCTGTTATCCCATCTTCCACTAGGTGTGGTCACTGTCAAGCTTTGACGCCAGAATGGAAAAAAGCTGCTTCTGCCCTCAAAGTAAGCATATTTGTTATTTATCAGGCTTTATGTTCAGAATGTTATTTATTTACCTAAAAAATATCATGAAAAGTTTTATGTTAATGGTTCACTGAGCTTGACATTTAAAGCAAATATTACATATCACTGCTTTCATTTATCATCTACTTTCTTTTGTGTCTGTTTTACAATATATTTTTACGTTTTTTTATTTACCCTTTTTTTTCTTTAAAGGGTGTTGTCAAAGTTGGTGCAGTCAATGCAGATGAGCACAAAGGTTTAGGTGGACAATATGGTGTCTCTGGATTCCCTACTATCAAAATCTTTGGAGCTGATAAGTTTAAACCCACAGATTATCAAGGTAAGTAGGATAGTCCAAATAACCATATCAAACAGTTGTTTGTTTCAACTTAAAATTGTTTCTCCTTTTGTTCTTTATGAGTTGAGCTGTGGCATTCATTATTTTTAATATCTTAATTTTTTAACCCTTATACAAGTTTTATTCTTTCTGTAAACTGCCAAATTTGTATTTAATAATTACTAGAAATTGTCTAGGTAATGGTGATGTTCCGTAAAAGTTTAAAAAAATGCGAGTGCCTAAAAAAAGAAATAAAAACAAATGGGTTCTTTGAAATGACTTTTTCCCTGTGGCAAATTATTTTTCAGGTCCACGTACTGCATCTGGAATTGTTGACTCTGCCCTGAGTACAGTTTCAAGTGTGGTTAAATCCAGACTTTCAGGAGGCAGTAAGAGTGGTGGGGGTGGCAAGGTAAACATTTTATCATACTTTAATTATTTTAATCTTTTATTATATTACAATGATTACAAATGTGTCTTTTTATGTAATAAATATCTGTGATATATTGTTGATTTATTTTGAATTAGAAGTTTAGGCATTGAGAGTAGAAGAGAAATTGGAATTAATTTTTTTAAATCTTTTGTTAAAGAGTTCTGGTGGGGACAGCAAAGATGTTATTGAGCTCACAGACAGTAACTTTGAAGAGAAAGTCCTTGAAAGCAAAGATATGTGGCTTGTTGAATTCTATGCTCCATGGTGTGGACACTGTAAGAATTTGGCACCTCATTGGGCTTCTGCTGCTAGTGAACTTAAAGGAAAAGTGAAGCTTGGAGCTCTTGATGCAACTGTGCACACAGTCATTGCCAACAGATATGGAGTAAGTGGTAGATTCTGAAAATTGTGTTCTTATTTGGCAAATATAAATCTTATTTTGGGGAAATTTTTAAAATTTCTTGTCACAATTGTGAGTGCGAAATTTAGTATTGAATTTAGCACAAAAAAAAATTAATTAAAAAAATTGCCTTTCCATAATTTTTGTAATGAAATTCAATGAAGATGTCCGTTTGTTCCTTTTAATTTCAAAGAGTTAATAAACTAAATAACACCAAAGATGAAACATTTAATGTTCATGTATTCAATTATTTTGTTGTTCCTTCCTCTTAGATCAGGGGATTCCCCACCATCAAATTCTTTCAAGCTGGTGATAAAGACGAAGAAGGTGTGGACTATGATGGAGGACGAACATCTTCTGACATTGTGAGCTGGGCCCTTGACAAATTATCTGAAAACATTCCAGCCCCAGAAGTCAACCAGGTACTTGTATATTGTATATGAATTAGAGTTGGCAGATTTTGTGAAGTGAATACCACTTAAAACAATAACAATAATGCAGTAACCTTTTTCCCCTCATTATTAAATGAAATATTTAGTAAAAATTATAAATTGAGAAGAGTACCCCTCACTATTTTTTATAAATTTGCCAATGTTTGTGAATTCAATTTTGAATGTGCTAAATTTCCAGCTTATTAACAGCAAAGTTTTAAAGACTGCTTGTGATGACCATCAATTGTGCATTGTTTCTGTGCTGCCCCAAATCTTAGACTGTCAATCAAAATGCAGAAATGACTATCTTGCCATTTTGAAACGGCTTGGAGAGAAGTACAAGAAGCAACGTTGGGGGTATGTAATATTAACTCACAGAAATTGTATGTGACCAAGAAAGTCTGTCCATTCTATCTCCTTTATAGCCATCTCCTGATTTTAGGATATCTTCTCTAAATCTCACTGCCCAATTTTTCTACATGTCTATTAAAGCAGTGAATTAGTTTCTACTATTTGAAATACTTCAAACGAATATATCTTTAGCTAATAATTTGAATTGGCATTTCCACTATGCTTTCAGTTGGGTATGGGCAGAGGCTGGTCAGCAAGTTGAGCTTGAAGAAAGTCTGGGCATGGGTGGCTTTGGTTGGCCTGTAAGTAGATATGTTTGGTCTCATAAGAATTGATTTAGACTTTAGTACTATATAACTGTCAAACATTTTTCTGGAGCATCAAGCCATTGTTAACATTTTTATATGGTTTTCAAAAATGACAAAATCCCAGACTAAATGAATTCAGAGACCCTTACAAGTATACATTCTTTGAAAGCCCATTGGACAAGGTATCTTATGGTATGAAAAAATTTGTTTTTATATTATGTATGTTGATATTGACCTCAACCTTTACAGACTTATTACAATTTTAGTACTCAACTTCTGAATTCAACCCAAACTAATGCTCCATAAATTGTTCAAACTATCATAAAATCATGTTTTTGAGATACTTCAAGCAATATTCTTTGAGTAAAGTTAAAGATATTTATATTGAAAATTTATGATATTGTTGAATTTTTTTCATTCACTACCTTCAAATTTCTGTCTTACAAAATACCAGGGGGAAAGCGTGAAATGAGTTTCAATTGAAGTTATTAAATCAATTTTTTATTGATTGATACTACAGAACATACAAAAACATAAATGTCTTTGGGGTAGGGCTTTGGGATCCAATTGTCTTTAGCTGTTTGACTACCACCCTTTCCCAAATGAATTTGTCTGTAACATTATGACTAAGGTTTTGGCTAATATTGTCAATATCTGACTCATATGTCACAATCATTGCTAGAGCCAATAATGTCATTACTAGCATCTGGAATATCTCTGAAATCATTGCTTTCATTTTAATCCATTTGAGGCAATTTCAATAAAGAAATTCAGTGTTGATTTTTCAGTCTAGAGTGGGGCCCTCTCTGGCATCAGACATATGGCAGATGAATTTTTTAGAAAATTTCACCTGTTTAATCAACAGAAAATTCATAAAAGCATGTTAACTTACACATAGTTACAAATATAGAAAACAAACTCGTTTATATAGAGTGATTTCCCTTTAACCACAATACATTGAATCATCCGCATTTTAAATGACGATTTTGCTAGCGTGACACCACAGATAGAGGTATGATGGGCGGTTCTGACAGTTATAGGGTTAAACATTTTTTCCAGACAAATGATCATTTTGTTTTATGATTGATAGCTATCTGGTGACTCCTTTTATAGCATTTTGTTTAACTCTACAGGCTTTAGCAGCTGTTAATTCAAGAAAAATGAAATTTTCACTGCTAAAGGGTGCTTTCAGTGAAACTGGTATCAATGAATTTCTCAGGTGAGTTAATGGTAATTAATTATGCTTTGCATTCAACAAAATTGTTCACTACATTGGAGAAAGTCTTTTCTGCTCTTATAGTAAGGCACGCTCATTAATAATTTCCATTTTGAACCTTTTAGGGAGCTTTCCTTTGGTAAAGGCTCAACTGCACCCCTCAAGAGTGCCCATTTACCTGAAATAAACAATGTTGAACCTTGGGATGGCAAGGATGGAGTTGTAAGATATTTTCTATTACATATTATTTTTATACTCTTGAAATTATTGCTTGTTTTTTTTCAAACACGTCTTTTACTTTTTTATCATTTAAAAAAAAAATGATTATTTTTGTCTGTTGGATAATTGGAATAATCATATTCTTATCTTATCAACAGCTTCCAGTAGAAGAAGACATAGATCTGAGTGATGTTGACTTAGACAAAGATGAATTGTGAGCAGACGAGAAGGAAACCCATCTTATACATTTTAGTCTCATCGATCATCATCATAACATGTTGCACAAACCAACTTTTTTGTCCACCATTGTGACTGCTCTCAATTGTTGCACGTGTGGTAAATTTGCAACATAATGTTGGTAGTTAATATTTAATTACCATATTATGAAATGGGTTTTACAGTATATGTAAGTAACTATGAGCAGATAATGTATGGTTTTATTTTATTATTTATAAACCAGCAAATTAATATTTACTTGATCAACAACACAATGGACATTTGAATCAGCAGTTGTTAAGCGTGTTAAAAGATGTTTTCATTGAGCCAACTAGAGCAAGAGCTAAATATTTACTGTCCAAACCATTTTTATGATTCATTATAATGAAAGTTTGACATAAGTCTTTTCATGATTTATTATAAAATAATAGTAGTTTGGCATAAGTCTTTATAATTTTTTTTTAAAACTAAGTATGGTACACTGTAGTACAAACTACTGTAGTCTGTTGTTATTTCTTAGTGCTGAAATGTTTTAGATTGTATTATGGTCTGATTCTGATTTTCAAGAAATGTAATTTAAAAAAAAATTTTTTTTTAAACATCACCTTTAAGTCACTACCCAATGTTATGTTTATTTTTTTCTTTAAAGATTTATACCTTTTCTATTTTCAATAAATGAAATAATAGTAATTTATACATAGGAAAAAAAAGGGTTACTTTTTTGGGGTACCACATCAGTTCTACTACATGACATGGTCTTGAGTTTTATTTAATTTGGTGTTGTGTTATTAATATACTTTAACTCTTTACCTTAGGAAACTGTTTAGAGTTGGTTTTATTTTGCTGACTGTTGTCTTAATTAAGTCTTATGCTAAATGTATTTTACTGCTGTTTGGTTTTTCTTGTGTTCCTTCCTTTGAGGGTGTTGTGGATTACTAGCTTGCAAATTTTTTATGGTTTATAGTATTGTTTCACTTATGATTGTTAAAAAACCATATTGCATGAATCAGAATCCTCTTTGAACAGTTACTTTTCATAAATTAATGGTTGGAACTTAATCACATGCATCATTAATTCCAAAGCCACCAAGGACTTACCATAGCACTGTTGACATCAGTAACCACAAATAAATGGTTAAACTTAAATTATTTTTAAAATTTTGAGTGCGGTTCTTTATGATAGTTTTATAATTATCTACACTAATTTTATCACACACTGTTTGAATGAGCTGAAGCCTCCATCATGTTCCTGGAATTATGAATGATGCTGACTGCTTTGTTTTCAGTTGCCTTGAAATATTTTTCAGGACTTGTTTTGTATGTTCATGATGTTAACTTTTAAGTGAATATTAAATAAAACTAAAATTCAAATGTTTTCAAGTCTCATTACATTAAAGATATAGTAATTTCACAGTAACAATTTTTAGGACAAACTTTTATTTGTACTTCTAAAAATTTCATATAGAGTATTTATATCATCTATCTTTATACACAAAATATTTAAAAATAGATTAGGCAGAGCATAAATGATAAAATAATAAGTAACAAAAACACATTCAAAAACAGTTTCACAGCCATTAGTCATTTTGTTCAACTTATGGCCAATTTAGTGATTTAAGAAAACTTAGACAATTGAAATAAATGTAAGAGGTAGACCAAATAATGCAATAATTTACAAGTGCATTCATTTATATTATATACTTAAATTAGTAATTCATTCTGATGAATAATTGTGTCAAGTGTTTAAAAAAAAAAATTAACAAATTAAAATGATTCTGCTAACGAGAGATAAATAAATGATAAATGTTCCCCTAGTTCTAATGCAGTCACATACAGAGAAAACATAAGTTATTGACAGTGCACATCTGTTGTATTGTTAATCTCTTTTTTAAACATTATATATGAATGATAAATTTAAACATGACTGTAGAAATACAGTGTAACATGAAGCTTAGTATTTTGATCAATGTTTCAAAAAGGTGCAAATGGCAGGCATGAATGATTCTCAAAATAGAAAAGCATTTTTTTTTCAAGTTTGCCATAAAGTAAATTAAAAAATAACAGTAAATCTAAATAATGTTAAATGCAAAAGATTCGAAGAGTATTGCTAGCATCCATCATTATAATTGTCAATGATCATCAATACACAGACAGAAAAGTAAAATTCAACTGAAGTCAAGATAGATATCTGCAGCATTATGAAATACAAATACTGATAATTCAACATAAGTAAATGAAAGTTAAAACAATGTGATTTTTGCTAAAAAAAACAATGAATTATGAAATACTGAATATTTGAATTTTGAGTGCGATTTTTTAACAGGTACCAGTAGTCAAAACTTTTTTTAAAAAATTTGCTTTGACTTGCTGTCTCCTCATTTTTAGTCATTATTTTTTAGCAACTTGTATTGCAAGTATAAGAAATCAAATACTATTCAAAGATTCTTAACACTTTTAGAGTAGAAAATGAAAGTAGAAATGAATCAAAGATATTTTTAAGTAAATAGATAAATTCTCTTTACGTTTCATAGACAAAGTTTCTGCAAAATAATTATCCAGATTTAATAACTTGTTAGAATGTGGGCAGTTGGCTTAACATTCAGTTCTCAGTCTATGACACAGCCAACTACACAGAAGAAGCAAAAGCTATACATTTGTAATTAACATTTTATAACTATTTAAAAATCCAAGTAAAAGAACCTTGAAAATTGTATTTGGATACTTCATAAACATTCAAGTTAATTCCTAATTTATTCCTTGGTTTTTTTGTCAAACAAATTGTGAATAGTTACTAAGCCATACACATGCAGATTGATTCAAAGCAGGTTCAAATCCCACTGTTCCTTACCAGTGACATAAATATGCCCACTATGGACACCAACCTTAGCAAAAATAGAATGCTCTAATCAGGCACCATGTCTTACAACATGGTAAAACTCAATAATGCTGTAACTGTAATACATACGGGTCGTTACAGCTTTTGGATATATGGAACACAGAGGAAAAAAATTGTGATTCTACTACGTTACCTAGGTGAATTATGAAGTGAATGTGACTTATTAATGTAAAATCTCCATAATCTTGGAGACATTTCAGCACTGAAGTAAGCAAGCAACAAAAAAATGCCACTTGTCCTCACTCCTTCTCACCCTTACAATGCTTACTCAACACTTACAATGTTGATCTGTAGCAAACAATTGACCATGGAAGATATTGGAATCTGTTTAAACAATAGTCTTGGAGTCAGCTAGAACTTCCATGATGGTAATGATTAGATGGGATTGTTATTGGAGCTGAATTCCTCTCTAAGGGATGCTTCTAATGAGAGCCGTTCTGGCCTCTGTAGGGAGAGATTAAAAACAGTTCATTTTGTGCAACTAATTGTATCATTTATGTGTAACTGACATCAAAATTCTGCTTCAAAGAGGTTAAAAATACATTAATTTGTTACTTGTAAAATTTTTATTTTTTGAGTCTGAGGAAATTAATTATAAATAATTTAACTTTTTATTATATTAAATGATTTTTTTCTCTAAATGTCTCATACAATATACAAATGATATTTTGCCTTCAAATTGAAAAATAATTATGACAGAAATGTCACATTACCTATTATAACGAAAAAAAAATCTAGCTGAAGGAGTGGAGCATGTACCGAAAAACAGGAGAATAAAATATCCGCTTAAATAAATTAGGAGAGGGAGGTAAAGCATACAAAAATATTCATAAAATGATAGCACAAGGGAATCTGGCTAAATGGGATTTATTATATCATTGCCATAAGTTCACATCTGTAATAAGCTTCAAGCGTATAAATAAATATATATGTATGATTACACAGGTAAGAATCAAATATTCGTGAAGATAATCTATCTATATATATATATATAGACAAATACCTCTCAATGACCGATAGGTAAGAGATCTCAAGAACAACATGCCTTTTAAAGCTGTATTTTCAATGGAGATTCCTCTTATACCCTAGGCATGCATTGACAGTTGTTTTTTTTAAAATTTAGCTTTTAAGTGGTCTAAAATGATCAAAGTTTGAAGCAGATATAGAAGTAGAAGCAATGGTTTATTTCCTAATTCAGTTTTTTTTTTTTTGCCTTGGGTTTTGATAGCAGTTTTATAGTACTTGCACTGCATTTGAACATGTGCTGTTTTATTTTTGCAGCTTTGCACGCAACAAGAATATTTAAATTTAAGTACTAAACCCAGATTCTAAGGTTAAATATCCCCATAAAATGAAGATACTTTAAAAAAAAAATCAATTAAGCTGGATTATTGTTAAATTTGACAAGATAATAATTAATATTTAATCATTATATTCAACATTAGAATTTCGTTGTTTTCATTTTAGGTATTCAATATTTTTAAAGGTGTCAATTCTAAATCAAATATTAATAAAGTTTAACATATGATAATTAATTCAAAATTAATTGAGACCGCTTTAAGTTTAAGGAGAAAAAGGGTGCAGCTTTCTAGGTGGGTAAAGATAAATAAAAGATCAGTGGCATTGGTGACAACATAATGCTGATATCATCATCCCTACAAAAATTGAGAAATCTAAAAAAAAATCCCTCAGGTGCTAATCTGGGGTGGGGGTTGTGAAGTTGAAAATAGAAATAATTAGAATAGCATTCTTAGTCATTTTAGGAAATTAAAACTTGGAAGATGTTACACTTCAATGTCAAAAAAGTTTTTTTTTAAAAATAATTAAAAAGGATGCAGTGAACCGGCTATAGGGTTTCTATGGTTTTTTGCTAATAAACATGAGATTTGACAATACTTTATTTTTATTGGTGTGCAGAGACTAACCTGTTGCCTCACAGAGCAAGATAAGAAAAGACAATAATTATTTATGGATGGTGGAGAGACAGTACACTCCTCTGCCTTCAATCTACCTCTCAATTTAAGTCACTCTGAGACTACTTTGTACATTTCGAAACAGTGTAATACAGCTCAGGTACTTCTGGAGTACAAGATGAATTTTTGGGATGATTCCACCATGGCTCACAATGGGGAAATAGAAGCATTGGATAGAACCCTTCAGAGCATCAGGAGAAGTAACTGCCCTATGAGTGGGACTATCATGCTACTGTTGGGTGACTCCAGGCAGATACTACTCGTCTTTCTTACAATAACATAATCTGATAAGGTCAAAGCCTGTCTTAAGTCATCCCACCTATTGCCTTAATTCCAAGTCCAACCTTTGTGACTTAACATGAGGGATAATCTCACAAGCAATCTAAAGGCAGGGGAGTTCTTAAACACCCATCTTCAAATAGGATATGTGATATTCAATCCGGGTATTCGCTGTGAAGTTGTCAAAAATAATGACAAGGTATACACTCCGGGTATCTCTGTGAAGTTGTTATAGACTTTAAGACAATGAGTGAAAACATATACTTTTATTTGACAAATTTACACATGGATAATTGGGTACGGTTTAAGGAAAGAAATGTTCTTACACAAAAAAACAACATGGCAGCAAGCATCAATAATTATTTATTGGATCAACTTCCTACCGAGATGGTGAGATGTCTGTGGACACCATGGTTGAGTAAGAGGATGTGGTTCACAACCGGGTAGAGTTCCTTCACACTTAAAGGATTCAAGCACATAATTTCTTTCTGAAAGTTCGTAAGCCAATCATGTATGGCATCTTTCCATCTGCGGGAGACGATAATTATCTTTATTGCTTGCAGCTCTTGGTGTGGCTGGTGAGACCAATCCTCGATTGGCAGTCTCTGTTACATTTCCCACACAGGAATGCGGTGTAGCAGTGTTTACCGACCTTCCTCCTCCCTCTTTTTGCAGCTGTTTCCCCCCTGTTTTGCTCCTCGGCATGTAGTGATCCTGCCTTCACGATGTCCCGCCATGAGGATCGATCCTCTGCCAGCTCCTCCCAGTTTGAGATGTCGATCGATATTGGCCGACTTCATGTCTCTTTTGCATATGTCTAAGTATCTCAGACGAGGCCGTCCAACTGAACTTTTCCTTGTCGCCAGCTCGCTGTATGGCACGTCCTTTGGTATGCGACCAGGTTGCATTCGCTTGACGGTCCAAGCCAGCGGAGGCGTCTTTGGATTAACATGGCTGGGACGTTACACATGTTTGTTTGGGACAGGACATCCGTGTTGGGGACTTTGTCTTGCCATTTAATGTCAAGGATGTGGCGCAGGCATCTGAGGTGGAAGCCATTGAGCCTTCTTTCGTGGTTAGAGTATGTGGTCCACGACTCGCATCCATACAGTAGTGTGCTCCGTACGCAGGCCTGGTACACCTGCAGCTTAGTTCTTGTTGTGAGTTTGGCGTTTGACCAATCATGCAGCAGGACAATCTGATGCCCCCTAAAATTTGTAACATCACCAGGCTGCAGGTTAAAGCCTGACAGAAATGTCACTGCTGCAACCATCTTCCCAGGCTGTGGTGCAGGGGAAAAAGAATTAATACCCTGAATGTCTATGATTACCTCTGACTAGCACTTCCAGTTTATGCAGCTGAAGTTTCCTGTTAAAACCTGCTTTGGCATGATGATGACATAGGGGTCAATGTAACAGCCAACAACAAGTGAGATGGCTTTAGTAATTCTGGGCGGAATTTTGAAAAGTGAGGCATGATTCTTCACAGCAGAGACACTTAGTTAAAACGGATCAAGTAAAACTCATAGTGCTTACGGCGCTACGCAGTACCACCTTATGTTCTGCTGTAGAGAAGATGGTAACTGCATCCACATCCCTCAGCATGATCCAAGATCCAAAGCCATTTTTAATAAAAGCTCTGCTTCCGACTTCTACTCTTACACTTAACCATATCATGAAAAGACAAGACTAATAAAACTTCAGCTTACTCTATTTTCAATCTTTTGATTTGTAAAATTTAAAAAAAATCCTTTTAACATTTTTAAAAATGGTTGCCGTTTTTTAAAATAATAGAAAATTGCTGTAGCTCAGAGCAGTCCAAAACATTCAGTTTCAGCTCTGGAGAATGAAGTCCTTGTTACTCATCTGACTCTTGTCAACAGATCTATCATCTAGTGCAGCTGTTCCCAATCTTTTTTTTTCTCCCTGTACCCCTTGATTATACATTTTATTTATGAGTACACCAACCACTCCCTTCTTTTCCCTTAACCCATTCATCTCTAAAAAAAAGTTTTTAAAAAAGATTAGTAAATAATCAAATTCAGCAGATAAAGCTAATGAAATTTATTGGCTGTTATTTTCTGTTTTACTAGTTATTTTAGCTTCTTCCTTTTTAAAAAAACAAACAAATGATGTAGCTCAAATGAATCTTAAAAAAAGTAAAATATTGCAATAAAATATTTCACAATAAAACAGGAAAACGTCAATTGAGACTTTAATACAACAGTTTGGGGTTCTCATTATTAATTTTCTTTCACAAATATTTTTGTGGAAAATATTTGTTGTCGATATACCTCTAAATATTGAAATATAGCTTTTTGAAAATAAATCGGTGTAAAAAAGCTTTTTGTCATTATCAATATAATTTTTAGGTACCGGTACCCCCAATCGGTCCTCCGCATGACCCCAGGGGTAAGCCTACCACAGGATAAGAAAGACTGATATTAAAATGTCCATTTAAAAATGCAATGCACATCATGACCCCAAATGATTTTAAATCATCTTTGCACCAACCCAGCTTTTGTCACGAATGAAATAAACTTTTTCAACCCTTACTAAAAATAACAAAAATTATGTGAAAACAATTTGAGTGTGTTCAAAGATTACATGACGCTAAGAAGATCTTAAAAGTTTTGATGACCTAAAAGAATACACAAACTGAGTACTAAAAGCATCAGAGCAATAGCAATGTCTAACAAAAGTTATCTAGCTAATTTATTTGCAATGATTAAAAAAATTGCGATAGGCAGAAATATGATATATGAGGGGCTGAGGTTATGGGAGCAAAAATTTCCAACAAAATTTTTTTCACACCAAACTTTTTAATTTTAAATTTACAAAACTCATGGCTCAGACTAATGTTTAGTATATACGATATGTGATATTTTATGGTACTTTTGTACAGACAATTGATACTTTTATGGTACATGTGTATAGAATAGTTATATTTGTTTGTACTTATAATATAAAAAATAACAAGATATTGTAGCCTTTGCGCAAGCATTATATCTCCATAACTAGTGGGGTTTTTTCAATTACACACAACTGAATAAGTATATTTTGTTTGTTAATATTTAATTTTGTTATAAAAATGTTTTCAACGTGATACCTGACTAGGCAGTACCTTCAAACTGTAATAAAGCAGGAAAAAGAAATTACTATACAGAATAAGACTAGTCTTCTTTACGGAGTCCCCGAGATGTAAACTATTCTTTTACTAAGAGCTTTTCTGAATAAAAAGTCATTATAATAAAATAATGCATGTATTTACTGCTAAATCATTTTACAAGCTGCAGATTACTTTTTTTCTAGCATTTTAAAAGTAATGGTTTAAAATATTATGATTTCCCAGTCCACTTGCAGAAAAGTATTGGGTTGTGATCAATAATATTTAATATTTGACAATTTACATGGAGTTGTAGTGACTCAAACAATGTTTACGCCAAATGTGATGTTCCACTAGCAAGATTTGGTTCAAAACCTGTGAGTACAATGACACAATCTTTATAAAAATATTTTGAAAATGGACGTGTCCAGGCGCTATTACTTATTGAGCTATTGATGACACCATTTTAAATAATTGTAGATTCACATTTATAAAATTATTATTATTGGTAATAGGAAAAAAAAAGAGTTTACCCTATAAAAGCATCCACAGAAACATCTAATCCACTGCACCCACAAGGGGATAGCCCCACAGCAGATGACATCAAAGTACTGCACAAATCCAGTTAAAGCAAACAGTAGCCCCATCACTGTGAATATTGTGACAAACACGTGGACTTCCCCCATATAGCTGCCAGGCTGTCCAAGATAAATAATTCATCATATTATACACAGCAAAGTATTTATTTAATTAGCATAATCATTAACTAAACCTTGCCACTGTTAACAGGCGTACCATAAATAAAGCTTATAAAATATGGAATTTTAATATAACTTTTATGATTTTGTTTTAACACTTTTTAGTAGATTCAACAGCTAATATCTCTGGTATGTAAAAATGGTATAGAGCTGACATTTTGTACACAGCTCAGTCTGGAGGCATATTTTAATTTATCAAAGTTTGGCGGATCCTTGATTTACCCATTCCACAAAATGTGCAAGTGAAAGAGGAATAGAAATGTCCCTCTTAATGATAAGGAGGGTAATTTTAACAGCATAATCAAAATTTGACGCAGCCTTTTTATATGTTGGTACATAATTTGGATCATAATGTGGAGATGGGCAGTTTTGATTCCCATTCTGGACCATTAAAAAAACATTGAGTAGTTTGATATTTTTGGGAAAAGTTTTGCTAACAAATCATTTCATTAAATCCAGAGGTTAGGAACATCATAAAAACATCAAAATTAATATAAATTTGGAGACTGTATTGCAACATATTATATGGTATTCCTATCATTAGCTGTGTTAATTTTATGTAAAATAGCCTAATTTGCTTTAAGTACCTGATACTGATCTGGTGCAGTCCAACCATTTGCATAAGCCACAATAAGAAATAATGTAAGACCAGCATACACAATTAGTGACAAAATTGTCAAGTTAAAAAATCTCAGCACCTGCAAATACAATTTTTAAAATTTCTATTTTGAAAAGATCAAAAGATTTTGTTCTTAAAAACTAAAGGTTCAATGGTTATATGAAGTAAATTTCTTTACAACTGAATTATAATTTTCACTTCAACTTTGGATATGTGTAATCTGGCAGAAAACTTACGGTTGTATCTCTTTTGCTGAGAGTAGCTCTGACTCCAGTGCTTCCTGTTATTACCATCTGAAAATAAAAGATCAGATCTACAACCAAACCAGATGACAAAAATTTTACATCATTTGACTTCCTTATTTTGCCCAAGACACCTAGTAGTAGTAGTAGTCACATCAACACATATTTACTTATTACAATACAATCATAATGATAAAATCCTATAACATACCTGTTTACTCTCAAACTTTTAAAATCGTAAAATATCATCACACAATCGTTCAATACGTTATATTTATAGTAAAAAATAAACAGTATATACAACCTATACGCCTAAAAATCGTACATTGTACGCCAAAATCGTAAGAGTAAACAGGTCTACTATAAGAATTAAAAAGGAAAGCAGGGTAAAACTCACTGTGGCTCCTGCCAATAGACCAACGCCATAACAGTTTCCTTTATTAAAAATAATGAGCTCATCTCCATCTTTGCTCTCTATAAGGGGCAGGATAAAGACCTCAAAGACACCTGTCATTTTTATATTATGAATGCAATGACCATATTATGCTGTTTCAAAAAAGCTGTTTTAAAAAAAAGCTTAAGTGATTTTAGTTTTAATTAAATACTGCAAGCATAAAATCCCTAAAAAAAAACAAGCTGTTTTATAAAGGTAAAACAAGGTTATGCTGTTTTAAAAATAACTAACAAATAAGTGCAGTAAGAATGTATGACAGCTCTTTATTTATTTATAGACCCGTTAAAATAATTTTATCTCAGAAGATGTATGCATTGTTTTACAACTAAATACAAATAAATCATTGAAACATTCCTACCTAAAACAGTCAATATGATACCAGTAATAATCTCAACTACACCAATTGCTCGTGGCCAGTGTCTACCCCTAGCATGCATCTGTTGGAAAACGAGCTCTGTTCTGGTCAACTCAACCCCTTCGATTTCTTCTTCATCCTCATCAATATGGGGACTGTACTGAATCATCTTGGATTATTTTACCTGTTGTATGATATAAATAATATTGTGATGTATTAAATGATAGGGAAAGAATGCATGTGATTTAACAGAGGTTGAGATAATGTGAGAAAGCTGTGATAAGTTATGTCCCTGGCTATGATGTCAGTCACTAGAATCTATGCAAGATGTCCCTTTCTGGTGAGAATTGTGTCATTGATAGATTTGATTAATTTTCTAAGTTATCCAGTAAAGCCAGGGATTCTTAAACTTTTTAAGTGCCGCATCCCCTCTTTATTTCAATATATTTCGCACCCCAAATTCTATTTCAAAATATATTTACTGCATCCCAAAACAAAAATTGCTAATAAAAATGCTAATAAACCTGATTTTGAGGGTTTTCTCGCAACTCTCATACCGTCTTCTGCACATCCTGGGGGTGCTTTCCCCCCTGGTTAAAAACCCCGGAGTTGAATAATATCTACTTTTTGCCTGGTTTTATAATTTTCAAAACAGAGGTTCAAAAGGCTTAAAATTACATTTTATGAATGGTTTTATAATCTTTTAAAAATTACATATATTCCATGCAGTAGATAATAGGGTATTGAAAAAGAATAATGAAAATTATATAGCGCAATTGGGATTAAGATTATTTATTTTAACTAGTGTTCTACTAGATAAGTCACATACAAATATTCATATTATCAAATGTATGTGTTATTTTTTTAATGTAAAAGCTTGCAATAAATATACTTAGCAGAAACATATTTTCTTTATTTAAAAATAAAATATAAAAACTTATAAAGGGTAGGCCAGGAAAAGGTTTCTGGCTTCGGGTGATATAGAATGACAAGATAAGCAAGTGGATTTATTTAAAATACCCCCAAGTTACCACAGCAGATGACAGAGCCATTAACCCTCTTGAGAGAGGTGCTCAGAATCGAACGGTGAAAAGATAAATGGCAGATTCATCAGCCCAATAATGCATTGGCTGGCTGGTCTTTGCACAAGCTAATTAATTGCTTATCCCATTTCTTCCTCATCTCACCATTTTAATGATGGCTTTCATTGATGACAGTGTTCTGTCATTTTATAGCAATTTGTTTTTGTACCTAGTAACCCCTATAAATGGTTAAAAAATATTTGATCTTGAAATATGCAAAAGACAAAAGCATGGGTGCCACTCACTGAAAGCTGTGAATCCTGAAATCCCTTTCTAAAAATTTCTTGAAACTTGAAACTACATTAACAAATTTGTCAAACCCTGAAACTTAACGAAACTCATAAAATTCATATACTGTAGAAAGTAACTTGACACAGCAAGAAGTGAGGTGCTTGCAAACGAAAGTGAGAGGTTTGCAAACAAAAGCGAGAGGTCGCATTACCTGTTCTATTTATAGCAAACCCTCTCCTCGCTGAATAGGCAATCGCATGTTCTTACACTACACGATTTTAAAAAAAACAAACAGAATCCGTATTTGAATAAATTGAGCTGGTGAATCCGGAGTGAGAGAAAATAAAAACTTGTAAATCCAGAGCCGAAAAGTATTTAGCCTCACGAATCCGGAAAAGTGGAACCCCAGGACAATAGCACCACAGTGGAGGATTTTATGCAGTTTTTCACATTAAATTTCATTTAATTTAATTTTTTTCTAAGAATAAACAAATATTGCAAGCATAAATTATGCAAATTATGATATCTTAATAGCATAAATGTTGAGATTTCACTTTGATTCATAAAGATTGAATTAGTTCATTTGATGCCCTACAAGAATATATAAAGTTTTATATTTGTAAATTAATTTTAGTTTATTTTTTATAAATTTTTTTTACAAAGTGCAGGGCTTGTGAAAAGGGCTCCAGTCAAAAAAGGATATGTCTCAAGAGGATTAATGGGACGGGATTTCAAAATTCAAGGATGAGTTTTGGGATATATTGGAATTTAGTATACATCATTCTACACTAGGGTGACCACATCATGAACTGGGAAAAAGGGGACACACCTAAGGAGGATTTTGGGGGATACCCTACAGCTAAAGAGGGGTCCGGGGGTCTCCGCCGGAAATTTTTTATTGAGATATGCACATTTTAACTATTTTGAGACCTAGAAATCTTTTTAAATTTACCTTCACTTTTGTAATTTAATTTAATCTCTGAGGCATACCATAAACGAAAACAATAATTTTGCAGTGAATAATTGAAGACTTATTCATTTTTATACATATTTTACAACAACATACAGTACAACAAATTAAATTTCTCTAGTCAGGATTTAAATCGAGGATATTTGGCTGTTGTTCCAGTCATTGTTAAAACCTCCTTCTTATCTAATATAAAGTTGTCAAAACTAGAACAGTCCATTTCAAAAATGTAGAGAACCTCAGGATTGCAGAAAGGGTATCCACTCCATGCAGTTATGTCCTTTTCCCCCCACAGCTTCAAGTCTCATTTCTTTCGCTATACATATAAGATCTATGGCAGGGACATTGTCGTTTATGCAGCGTCAGCAGAGTGGTGGAGGGGGACAGTTTAGCCGTCACACGAGCCCACATCACTACTGGCACTGGCTGCACAGCTAGTCAAAATATTACTCGAAGTTATATTATAAATCAGGAAGTTTTAGTGATTTGAAAATATGTTTGGTTTTAGAAACGGGACATTTTGGTGTCCCAAGAGACTTTTTTGGGACACTGGGACGATCGTGAAAAAACGGGAAGTCCCGTTTTTACGGGACGTTTGGTCACCTATTTTACACTATTAGGAAAGTGATGCTAGTAGAAATTTAAGTTCTCTTTATTTTGACCTGGTTGTGTTGAATTTAATTACATTTTGGTTGTTACTAACTTGTACTTCGTCAGTCATTTAATTGATTTAAAGTTATTTTTTTTTAAAGACTTATCACTCTGGTTATAGTATATCTTTTTTCAACGAGTAAGTTTTTCTCATTTTTAAATTTTACTTCTTATTTTACCTTGTTATTTCTTTTTTTTTAGCAGTTAAAAGTTTTTAGCTGTATTCCAATGTCCAGGTCTTCCACATACATTTTTATGACTTACAATTACAACTTATCAATCATGTCTTGTTATCCCCATAGACATAATCAATATCATAACTACTACTAATCATAGACATAGACATAATCATACCATAGTGTTATTATTAAGTCTTGTCATTCTGATGTCAACTGTCAACATCAAAGTCAAAAGAAAACCCTTTGCCTCCCCCAATCTTTAGGCTTTTCTCACCCCCCCCCCCCAAACAAATGAGTAAATTACTTATTTTTAATGTTATTGTTAATATTATTATTATTTTTGAGATTTTTGTACTGTAAAAAAAGTCAAAAGAAAACCCTTTTCCTCCCCCCATCTTTTGGCTTTTCCCCCCCCCCCCCCCCCCCAAACAAATGAGTAAATTACTTATTTTTAATGTTATTGTTAATATTATTATTATTTTTGAGATTTTTGTACTGTAAAAAACAATAACAGTGTTTGTTGACAATAATGACTTGACAACCCTGCCTGCGCCCCCTCTTCGTGACTTTTACTTCTGGTTTCGGCAAAAAAATTATATCTAACGTCAAATGGTGGGTAAAATAATTAATTTAAATCTTAAATACCATAAGTAAGCGGGCTACCCTACAAAGTCTAAGTAATATTAATGCAGGATGTCACGTACTTTTGCAGAATTGATAAAGAACAATCATTCCACGATGAAAGTTGTTGACATCGACTCGGTATCGTCAGGTGATTCCTAAATTTACTAATTGCAATATTTTAAAAAGTCAGAAGGAATGTAGCTCATTTAACTACGATTTAATTTTTTCCAATTAAATACATATTTCCACTTTTCCATTGATTAATTACAAAATTAAGTTAATAAGTTATATTTAGAATAGTAAAAACGATAATATAATTATAATATCTTTATAATAGGTACGTATTCAAGCCTCAATCGATTTTTCTACATTTATGACACATAATATTTATATAATAGTCGTAATAGTCTAATCTGATAATATGGAATAAGTGAATAATGTGAATGTGAATGTGATGTTCTTATTAAATATTAAATATTAATTATATCTGTAATGTTTATTAATTTATTATCGGCCATCGTACTTCCATCTAGCTTTGATTTTGATTTTTAATTTACAAATGCTTGTTTTTATTTATTGTCATGTCGCGTAAAAATAATTGAGAACTTGTTAAAAGATCTAGAGACTGGAGAGAAATTGGGCCTAAATGGCTAACAACACAATGAGCTAAGAATAGGACAGTCCCATTTTAAAAACGTATGTTTTTCGCGGTTGATGGGGGCCAGGGATGTGAGAGGTTTGCCCCTCGTCGCAGACGCCGATTTTGACAAGAGGCATCATCAGATGCCCTTCTCAACAAGTTATAACCCGCCTTACCCAATCTTCATTACATAATTATACAATGTTATAGCATGTGTGTTGATCTTGTTTTTGTTTGTTTTTCTTCACCGCGAATCTTACATCTTCCCTACACACTTTTTTGTTTGTTTTGATATTGAAATCACCGATTAAATGGGCTGGGGTCCACTTAATGCAAAATTTGCTTGATTGGGAAAGGTTGTTTACTTTCATATATGTTCTAAATGGAAGTTAAAATATGCGCCAGTGTGATGCAGATTTTAGAATTTCTTTTCTGGAGGGTTCCAACTCACTCCCTATAAATAAGCCGGCAGCTTTCCCAGCCGGAAAGATCTGCTAGATTTCCTTGATACGAGACACCTTACGATAACTACCACACTAAATAATACCCTTATAAGATTTTAATATATTTGTTTGTGTATTATTCATATTTGTACCTTTCGATGATTAGATGTATACTTTTTCACTTGCTGTGCTTAAAGTTAATTTAGTTTCTTTATTTTTATTTTTAATGTATGTATATTTGATTTTGTATTTTTATATAAACTAAATATTATTATTAGATTGAATAGTGTTAATATTTTTTTAATGTCACGTTTCTTTTTGCTAATTTGTATGGGAAGTGCGGTGAGCTTAACCCTAGGCTGGGGTACCAAGCTATATAAGACCACTTTAATAATAGTAATATCAATAGATTTGGTATCGTTTACCTTTGTATACTGGTTTTCAGTGTTTCATTTACGTATTGCTCACCTAACGCGCCAACTGTTAAAACATATTAAATTTGAAAAACCATATAATGGTACGTAACATCCACCATTTGGGAAAAGGCCGTCTTAGCCGTGCTGAGCCCAATTTCTTGATCGTTTATCTTTCCAAAGTTTTGGCAAAGATTTTTGCCACCCTCTTTCATTGATAAAAAAACAAAACAAAAAACTTGAAAGTTGGGCGAAAATGCCGCCGCTTAGTGTAAATTTAAAAAAAAAAATTGTCTTCTCCTCCACACCCTTCTTTCTACGCCACTGGGCCGTGGAGCCTCACACTGTAAGCCTAAATCACCGCCCCTAACTCGACCATAGAGTATGACCAGCTGTCCAAAATAGAAAATAAGTAATATAAAATACGTATTAATTTCTTGAACAATAGCTAAATTTTCTTTACGTGACACGCCCAATATCATTCAATTTCAAATTTATTATTATATTTTTTTTTTTACACTCTGCGTCGCCCCTATGACTATGAGGAAACCGCATCTCCCCATGGTGCCGCAGTGAACAATTTGGCATTTGGGAACATCTGGGCTAACTGTTAAAATATCAGCTACATATATTTTGAATTTAACATGCACAAAAAAATGTTCTCTCAATTCGCAGTGACAAATTTTTAAAATATTATTTTTAAACCAGATATAGCCAGCCGAACATTGGCGGCAGCAATGCGTAAACTTCCCATCTTCCAAAGTTACTTGACAAAACATGAACTCAACTCAGGGTTGGCCTTAGGCCACTGCAACCAATGCGGCCACCGTGGGCCCCGCATTTTCATAGGCCCCACTTTCTAATACAAAATCTTAATTTTCAATTATTATCCTTATCCCTACCCAGACTGGGCCCCGCACAATCCGTTTCGCATAGGGCCCCGCAATTGTTAGGGCCGGCCCTGACTCAAGCAATGCACATTTAAGAATCCCAATTATCGCTATACCCCTTCCCCCATGCACACTTTCTATTTCACGCCCATGAACTATATGAATATTCTGATGTCCTAACCACTTTAAACCGAAATTTTTTTACACCATACTAAAATTGCGACGATTTCACTTTATATTACGCGCCAAACGCAGTTGCGTTATATAACCAAAAAAAAAAAAATCTCATTTAGCGTAGTTATCGTGAATTATATTTTGCGCGCTGTTGAACTCATTATTGAACCATACTTTCCTTCAAACATTTAGAATTATTTTTGATATACTCTCAGACCAAATTCTCTGATTCGGAAGCAGTTTATTAGGAAGCAGTCCATAAAGAAGCAGTCTTTATATATAAATATTATTTTATTTTATAAAAATTGAAAGCAATTTAAAAAATGAAGATACTTTCCATCAATTATTTGTTTGCAGTGTTTCTTTCAGAAAATTTCCTCCGCGGGAAAGGGGGGGGGGGTGGGGCGCACTTCAGATTTTTTTTTGGGGGGGGGGGCAGTGCATCAATTATTTGTTTGCAGTGTTTCTTTCAGAAAATTTCCTCCGCGGGAAAGGGGGGGGGTGGGGCGCACTTCAGATTTTTTTTTGGGGGGGGGGGCAGTGCCAGCAGTTCCAGTTGATTTATTGTTGGACATATTTTTGCTCCTGGGGGCACTTGGCTCCCCCCCCCCCTGAGATATAGCTGAAAGAAACCCTGTGTTTGTTTCACATCAAAGCATGAGGCCACTTAAATATTTGAGGCTCACGTAGGGTTTGCAGGGCCCACGCGACTTATCTGGTACGTGAAATGAAAATAAATAAATAAATTTGAAACTCAAAACTATATCCTCGGAATCTGTTTAAGTGCACAACGTAATTAAAAAGATTTTAAAACAATCTAAAACTTAATTAAAGCAAAAATGGCCCACCCAACTTTCTCCGACGATTCATTATTACTCTACATTAGAGAAGAAAGAAAACAAATTTGATCCAAGGTCAAGTGGTAGCCTCCATCCTCATACTTATAATTAAATGAGATGGGACTTTGGTTGAAACTTATCACGAGGGGAGTGATTGCTAAGCGAGATAACTGGTCAGAGATAAATCCGTGTTAGATAAGTTAATTATAAGTTAACTTTATTTCCAGTTTCTAACTGCTGGCGTACCGATCTCCTTCTTTACGATCTTTTCCTGATTAAAAAAAACAAAAACAAAAATGACACAGTTTTACTACATATGAATTTCATGTAAGGTCGTAACCAGGTTTGAGGTTTCATGGTGATGTATCCTCCTCATCCATTTTGACGATTTAGTACCTAAGATTTCACACTAGAAATTTCCAAATAGCCCATAAAGAGTAAGGTGCACGTTATGAAATTGGTGCTCTTTAGGTGTTATCTACACTATTGTATCTTGTGCTGAATTCACGCGCGGCAAGGTCACATGTTGGGAGTTGAAAAGGCAAACATAAAGAAGGTCACATGTTCTATGTTTATACGAAGCAATGGTTGGATATATTTGTGTTGAGCATCTGTCACTAGATTGTTTTCCGTTTATCTTCCCCCTTTCAAGCTTTTGCCTCCCACTTAAACACTCAAACGTACTAACACTTGACGCTCGCCCTGAGATAGTCATGCTTTGGTTAAACCGTTCTTTTGATAATATGGATTATCCCGAACGAATCTTCAGCTACGTACTTTGATGATTTGGTTGCTCGCCTACTGCTAACTTACATTTCATAAAGAGGTCATGGTTTACAAAATGAAATACAACCCCTAGGAATTATATTATTTTCAACCTTATCTTAACAAAAGGAAATAAAAATAAAGCACAATGCATCTGGTGGATGAGCGCAAATTATAGATTTTTAAAGATAACTAATATTCTCTTTTGAAATGCTCAGTTTAAAAAAAAAAGCAACAATGACATTTCCTTTACTAAAAATGTGTATCCCTAAAGGTCCAAAAATTGTTAGCCTATATAATCCTGCACTTAGATTAGCGCGGAAATTTAGTTCACAGGACAGCTTTAGAATTTTGACCAGAGTTGTAGATATGGAGTTGATTAAAGATTCAGTCCTCGAAATGTCCAGCTTGGATATGTACATAGACTAGGATTTACAAGAATCATCAGGGGCCTGACATAAAAAAGGAATAAAAAGAACATATTGTTAAATCAGATGTTATGGTATAAAAAATAGAGATAAATACTATACAGTGGAACATCGGTTAGCGAACATAATCTGTTCCTTGACTCCGTTCTTAAAACTAATCTTTCACTAGCTGAAATATTTTTTGCCACATTGAAAAAATTAAATTCGATTAATCTGCTTCAACCATAGAAACATGGTATACTTACATTTTTAAGTGATGTTCTATAATGAAAAATCTATCTACATTTTTTTTTCTTCTGACAAGTGACATAGCAGCCTCTCAATGTCTTGAAACTCTTAGGAGTCTAACAATACTATGAATTCCACTTTTTCGGCGAAATTTATCCAACCACCCTCTTCTCGCCTTAAAGTCATCTGCTTCGACACTTGTGCTCTGTGTTTTGGCCAACATACCATATTGTGCAGCTGCCTAGCCTTTTGAAGTCTTTTCGCAAAACGACCTTTACAGCCAGCGCACCAAAACGAAACTTAAAAACTTAACCGTTAGGATTTTGTTCTGAAGTATGCATATGTCCGTAACCCGAATTATCATTTGCTAACAGAGGAAAACAAATTCAACAAAATTGTACTGTTCGTTAACCGAATTGTTAACCGGGGCGTTCGTTATCCGAGGCTCTATTGTACTTGCTATTGTGAAAACTGATCAACCAGTTTAAAATTTATTTTTAGTGTGAAAAATAGCCTATTATAGCGTCTAAATGTTACAAACAAATAAAATAAATGTTAATTATCCTTGAGTATGAGTCTTTGGGCATCACCAAACCACTGCATACCATCGCTTGACTATCTTGGTGCAAATTTACACACACACATACACACACACTTACATATATATAAAATGACAAATCGATGAAAGTGGAAAAAAATTCTGATGAATATTGAACACCGTACTCTTAGACCTTTGTGTTCTTTCCGTTTTGTCATGTGGGTTTGTCACATGACTTTTCCAAATCTCGTGATCAACGAACACAACAAAAGCTCAGTCGCACTGAGAATTAGTGAGAATAAGGTTCTGTGAAACGTGAAGAAGGTAAGTAAAATATTGGGTATGGTATAGTTAAAGGCTTAGGTACCGGTAATTTATTGTTGTTTATGTACTTTACAATAAATGGTTGGTTCATTTTACAACTGTAATTTGTAGGCTATACTTAATACTTTGATCGAAAAAATGTTTTCAAAACCAAAATCAGGAAAGTTCGGCTTAGTTCGGGGGTATGCTCGCCTGAGGCTCAGGTCTCAGTCAGCAGACATTTTCATTCAGACATTTAATAATTATGCTTAATTACTAAGTGTAAGTTAGTAAATAAAGTTGGTAAATGTTGGTTTGGCGTGCCATTCAGTTACCATGGCCGCCACCTTGATTGCCACACGAGGTCATGGCAACTAAGATTATAACGGGCTGTAAAAAAAAGGTGCAAACACATCTGCTAGGCCAGCCAGGGAAACAGAATGAGCTGAGAATGTTATGTTTTATTGGCTACTTACAGAGAGGAAAGATAAATAGGAACAAAGCCTTAAAATTTAATCAAATAAATTTCAGTCCATTATTTAATTTTGTGGAGAACATAGTAACTTCATTGTATTCCTCTAGATTCTAGATAATAGATCATTATGTGGCAAGAGTTGTCAACAATCTGCGGTCGCCCCCTTTTCTGTGGTAATTTCAGCGGGTAGATAAATTTCATTGCGAAGGTAGCAAATTTAGTGCATCCCTGTAGCTGGTGTAATTTCAGCTGTTACATTAATTTCGTGGCGAACATAGCAACTTTATTGTACACATTTGATGGTCTGAAGCAAAAATTACCCATGGGTGGGCAACCGACCTTATTGAATAATGATTCAATGCTCAGCTTATTTTACTTATACTTCGAAATGCACAGTACTACAAGGTATCTTACTTTTTTTTGGATTAGGTTTGTCTTGTTATATTACTATATGTCATGTAAGCACTATCTTTTTGTTTTTAAAGTTTAGGATAAGGCCCACATGACATCATACAATATCAAAACTTGACAACCCAATCCATAAATAGTAATAAATTAAAAAAATATAGTTCCAGAATCACCTGAATTTTAAAAAACAACAAATAAACTCAAAATATGAGCTTGAAACAGTGCTTTAAAAAGGGTTGTGCTGTAAAAATAGGTTGACTGGAGTTGCCTTTTTCAGTTTCTTTCCAGCATTTACTTTTGTTACAAGGAAGTAGAAGAGCTGGGATATTTAAAAAAAAAATAACTTATAAATAAATTTCTAAGTTTTATAATTGTTCAGTCATTACTGGGAAGGTGGTGAAAATTTTTAGCTATTTTTATTAACAAAACAAAGTAAATTACAATATAAATATTTTTTCACTTCTTGGAATTTGATGATTTAGTTTTGTCTAAAGTGCAATCTCTTAAATGTGAAAAAAGACTACAGCAAACCAAATAGTGTTATAAAAGTGTCAGAATTATTATTCACTTTGTTAATTATCTTGAAATATCCTCAATATTAGTGAATAATATAGGATACCGGTAATGTATTTACAGGATTAAGTAAAGTTTAACCATGTTACTGTTTGTCTTGGCATTGTGCCTGGTCCTTGCTACATCTTCTGCTCAGCTGTTGCGCCCAGATTTTGGTATTCTCAATGAAGATGAGATTGACTACATCAACAATGCTGCGAAAACAACATGGAAGGTTTGTGTTTAAAACTGGATTTTGTATTTTATATAAATCATGTATGGTTGATATTTATAAAGTTCTATTCTATTTTAGCAAACTGATCTGAATTAGTGATAACTGTTTGTGTGATAACATTGTTTATGCACTTGTCTTTTAAATTTTAAAAAGAAAAAAAAGGGGTGATTAATTTTTTATTGCTTTCTATGTAGGGGTGGTAATATACACTATAAAAGGGAAATAAAACATTGTACACATTGTTGAGGCATAAGAGTATAAATTTTTTATTAATTTAGGCTGGTCGCAACTTCCACCCTAAAGATTACCTCCGTGTGAAAAAAATCCTTGGTGTTCCCAATATGGCCAAAGCAGAATATCTAGCCCACCAGTTGCCTAGACAAGAGTTTGAACGAAAGCTGAACTCTTTCCAACTTCCAGAAAACTTTGACCCCAGGGTGCAATGGCCCAATTGCACATCGCTCAAAGAAGTCAGGGACCAGGGCAACTGTGGATCCTGCTGGGTAATTACAATTTTTATATTCCATTTATTTGTCCTGCCTGCCTATATTACCTGTCGCTTAATATAAAAAAATGTATTAGAAAAAAGTATAAATATAATTTAAAGTGGCTAGGTATTCCTATATGCATTTAAAAAAACATAAGAAGAGACCCATGACTGACTGATAAAAAAAAAATGTTAAGAACCCCTGTGATAAGTCCAATTGAGGATAGCAATTTTTTGTTATACAGTTAAAATGTCAATCTGCTGGTGTTTAACAGTTCAGTGTTTTTCAAAATTGGCTAATTGCCCTTTTTTAGCTGGTACACAGAAGTTTCTAAAATACATGTACAATACCCAGTGTATACAAATTCCAAAACACTACAAATTGACGGTCTTACATGCACTTTAAGCATTTGATTTAAGTGGAACAAATTTCAACAAGTTTGATAATGCCTCTAATAAATATTTTCTATTTCAATAAATGTTCGTTTATTTTTACAATTAAAATTGTTTTTAGAAAAGGAAAAAATAAAAAGAATGTGTCCATTTCATTTGTACTTCTCTAACCTCTCAGGCATTTGGGGCCACTGCTGCTATGACTGACCGCATCTGCATCCACTCGAATGGCAAGGTCAACTTTCGCTTCTCAGCAGAGGATCTGCTAACTTGCTGCGATGAATGTGGTGATGGGTATGTACAGTTCCCTAAATCACCTTAGTTCTAGAGCAGATGCTCAAATCATGACATCAAATTCTTTTCTGCTCTATAAATATAAAATAATTTTTTGTCAAAACTGAATGCTAACAGGAACTGACAAATGTCATCAAATTTTTTTTAGCCATTTAATTTACATGCATTTAATTCTAAATAAATTATTTTTTATTTTATTTTATTATTAGCTGTCTGAAATAGCGTTGAAATTAAAAAAATATTGCATCTTGTTTGTTCCAGCTGTAATGGTGGCTACCCAGCTTCAGCTTGGGAGTACTACAGACAAACTGGCATTGTGTCTGGTGGCCCATACAATAGCTCCCAGGTATTAATGGTTTTGGAACTTAGTCATTGTACATGTTAATCGCAGCATGTACAATATTAATTAAATTTGTGTACATGTCAATGAAAGCATTTACCATTTTAAATAAATCAGTGTACATGGCAAACACAGCTTTTGTCATATTAATTCAGTAAGCATGTCAATCCCAGCGTGTACTTTATTAATTTAACATCATGATTCTCTGCAGCCTTTGCTAAACATTTAACCCAGGCCTGCACAACTCATAATGTAAGGGGGGCCATAAGACTTTATGAAAAACTTGTGCAGGCCAAAATAAAATAGGACAGGAGGGAAAGCTATTACGAAACTAATAATAAAAAATATTTCTTCACTTCATGAGCCGCAAAGTGGGTGCTGGTGGGCATGCGGCCAGCGGGCCGTATGTTGTGCAGGCCTGATTTAACCAATGCATGTGTAATTGAAAAGTCATTAAGTTATTTCAGATTTAGTCTAGATCAGATGGACATCATCTCCCTTAGACTTATTTTCATTGATTCTCTCTCAGGGTTGCCAGCCATATTTGATCCCTGCTTGTGATCACCATGTGATTGGTAAACTGCCACCTTGTGGTAAGGAGGAAGTCCCGACCCCAGATTGTAAGAAAGAGTGTGAGGCCAACTATCCCGTCGCCTACAAACAGGACAAGCATGTTGGTGAGTCAATCTCAACACTGAAAATTACCTTACACATTTACAATTATGTGTTGGTGACTGAGCATATCTAACTTGCATGAATGTTTATGAATGTATGTGTATGTGTAATAACCTACTTTGTACAAGGCAAGTAGGTTATTGCACACACACATACACAAATTAAAAAAAAAATTATGGAAGAACCAAATAATGCTTTACATTTGCAGGTTCCAAGACGTATCAAGTCAGTGGTGAGGAGAACATCATGCAGGAGTTGGTACAGAATGGCCCAGTGGAGGCTGCCTTCACTGTTTACAGCGACTTCCTTCAGTACAAAACAGGTCTAGAAACAATTCTTTAAAAGCACATTTCTTTTACAACTGATTGCAACATTAACACTAGACCTGACCTTTAAATCAGATCTTGAAGCCTGAAGCATTCATTATTTATATGATGTAACATAATGTCCTGTGATTTCAGGTGTCTACCAACACACGTCTGGGTCTGCCCTTGGAGGTCATGCTGTCAAACTCATGGGCTATGGTGTAGAGGATGGCACAAAATATTGGCTTGTAGCTAACTCCTGGAACCCTGACTGGGGAGACAATGGTATGTTTTCAGAATCTTCAATTTATTTGAATCTTTTTTCTTGACATAACTTTAATTTTACATTTTTTTGCTGTTTATTTTGTCAATATAGTTATATATATACAAATGTAATTTAATTTTCCCTCATTCTATAGGTTTCTTCAAAATCCTCCGTGGTCGGGATGAATGCGGTATTGAAAGTCAGATTGTTGCTGGTGAACCCAGGTTGTAAAGAAATGAACGCTTTACAGAAAAATAATTATGCCAACCCTGGTGGATGCTTAAAATTTTTTTTTTTTGTCTCCTTATTATATCAGCATACATTTTTATTTTATCTCAATTTAAATTGGTTATTTTTATTGAAAAGTTGAGATTAAAATTGTCTTTCATTAGGGTTTGATATTTTGAAATGAAATTATTTAAATCTACAGGACAGATTGCAATGGAGTATGTCAACGCTTGCTCTCATGATCTGAAGGGTTATCTAAAACATTCCTATGTAGATACTAAGAATAATTTTGGAACGCAGTATAAAAAAAACAACATGTACTATGATGTACAAATAATGTACCAATTAGGAAAGAATCAAAGCCAAATTTTTTTTTTTAATTGTTTCACCGCTTTCACTTCATTATTTTTCATAGTTGAATTAAGTTGATAGACATAATAATTCACAAGGCTTGCTGAAGGGCTTCTCTAGATTTGTTAGGCTATTAAATTTAATATTTTCTGCTTTAATGGCTTTGCTCTATGTTAACCTTGTTGGTGATGTCCCATATTATCATGAAAATTAGATGTACACTTGTTCTCAGCGTCAGGCGTATTTTTTCTTATGCATCATGCCCCGCTAAGGGATCACTTGGCTGCTCAAAAAAAAAATTGTACCGGTTTAGAAATATCTTTGTCCTAAACAAGCAATTTAAAGTTCCTTTATAATGAAATGTATTGGTTAAAAACCGTTTTTTTTTGTGGGTGCATAATTTCCAGGCCAAAACATAGGCCTCTGCCATTCATTACTGCTAGAACTAGTAGAAAGTTGGTTTTCAAATTACATATTTTTCTTATGGGTCTGACTGAAAGTGTTACTTATTGCATTCTGCTTTACCTTCATTCTCCACACAGATATTTTAGATTTTGTTATTTGTTTGCACTGTTGTAATGCACTGTGTTCCGATTTTTTTGTCAGGAAACTCTGAAAATGTATTTCAGTTTACAAGCAAGGGTAAATAACTCATTAAAAAAAAATTCAAAGTTGTGGTTCCTGCTCAATGAATCCGCAACTGACAGAATCTTTGTGTGTCTGTGTCAGGGAATATTTAGTCAAGCTTGATCTGTCTTTACAAACTATTTCCATTTTCTTTTGACTGCCCAACTAAGGATCTAAAATTGTTTCTGTTAAACTGTCTTAACATATATCTTGTCATTTTATTATTCAACAAATAGATATGAGCCATGGATGTCATCCTGATGGTATATTTACATTTTCATTCTAGCCATACCATCTACACAAATTGTCCAGTTCAGTGAGGCGTCCATATCTTGCACTGATTAAAAGTGACCTTAGCAATAATGTCTTACCCCCCCCCCCCCTTCATTTTGTATTTTGGTTGAATAATGAAATTCACAAATAAATGAATTAAATGTCAAATAATTATTTTGGTTTTTAAATTGTTTGTGTGATAAAATTGTCCCTATTGCTTTGAGTGGATGAACACTTGGTTTGTGATTTCGGTGAACCAATTTTCTGGTGCCCTCAACTCTCCTAACCCATCTCCCTTGCCCCCATCTTCCCTTCCCCCAAAGACAAAGTTGAACAATGAGAGGAATATCTTATGTGTAGCCATTGAGTTTTTAAGATGGTGGGTTGGTTTACTGATTGTTATTTGTGAAGTCATTAAGTAAGTTGTATGAAGTCTGACAATGAGAAATGTAGAGATACTGCTTTATGAAAAGAATACTTGTAACCAAGGGGGAACCCAGAAAAAAAAAAGGGGGGGGGGAGACCAAATTAAAACAATTTTTTTTCAAATCTGTAAAGTGAAAGATAATTTAAACCAAACTGTGTAAAATCTCTTTATTTCAAATTGTTTGGTCGCCCCAATGCATTTATGTAACACATCGCATCTTTTAGTTAAGGAAAGGTGGCCACAATCCCCCTCCCCACTTCCTCCCCTCTCGCAACAAACACACCACACCCTCCTCATTCTTTGTCAGCCTAAATGAATATCCCACAAAACCAAGAGATTAAATACATTTAAATAATCTGTGTTGAGACAGCCTCGCTGTGACGTCAGTCCATTCATAAGGTATAAATATAGAGCCAAAAAACAACAACAAATAAAGTGGGAGGGGTGGGGACAAAAAAGAAAAAAAAAAAAGAAAGAAAGATGGCGTCTCCTTGCATGAGGTATACTTTCAAGTCATTCTAGAGTGCAACGTGGGGAGGGAGAGGGCGTGGCCAACGTTTATTTCATTGGCAGCAAACTTTCCCGTTTTTTGTTTTTTCTCTTCTCTCTCTCTCTCTCTCTCTCTCTCTCTCTCTCTCTGTCTCTCTCTCTCTTCTGTGTGGGCCTTAGTTGTCGTCGTTTTTAAACTTTTTTCCAGAAGAAATCCCGTTGCTATCACACATTTGTCACACCGGCCTATGTACAAAAGAGCCAAGGACCTCCCTAAATGCATCGGGGACCCTGGGAAAAATAACGTACAGAAGCCCCCCCCCCCCCCCCACACACACACTTTCATTTCTCACTAAGCTGTTCAAGTAATGCTAGGGAAGATGTTTTTTGCCCATGCGTAGTGTCCTGTGTTTCTATCAGATAATTTCATTTAGGGGGGTGGGGCAGCGGGACATCTCCAGTGCCAAAATGAGGCATGACGTCTCCCAGGGCCAGCCCTGACTCTGTCGCCACTACTATACATAAAAGGCGGCTGTTCCTTGAAAGCAAATTAAATTGCCAAAATATATTTTATTATTCACTACCAATATTGCTCTTAGAAGCGCGAAGCCCTGGGTTATTGCCCCGTGCGTCCATGCCTTAGCCTTAAGGCGGGACTGCCATAAGACACCTGGAGTGAAGGGAGTCAGATGTTTGTGTGTGTGTGCTGTTAAATCACGTTCAGACCACTCTGTTTTATCCCATTCTCAAACATGACCCGATCGGAGAAAAGGGTCGAACACGTGCCTCCATGAAGTAAAAGTACGACGTGGAGAAGTTTTCAGTTATTTAAAATTTAAAAAAAAAATCGTTTAGCCTAGTTAAAGAACAATTGTTTTATGGCGGAATAATCTGGTTCCACATAGACAATCCTCTCCTAAACAGCACTTATCCAATGTTGGCAAAGTCTGTCTTTCATTAATACGAGTACATCCGGAAGGGAAATAAATCATGTCAGCCAATCGATTCGACTAAATTTTTCCACTTTAATTTCAACCTATTGAACTATTTATAGACATAATTTTGGGATGTGTGATATGAACTCTATTTTAAAATTAGTTTAGTAAACTGGTAGATTGAGATTCCAATATGCCCTACTCATCTATCGAATTTTAGATACATTATAATCAATAAAAATAACTGAAGCAGATACTGTTCTTTTCTAAGTCTAAGACACAACTAAAATAAATATCATTTATAAAAATTGGAATTAGCATAATATTTTTTCAAAGTAACGCCTGAACACATGCCCTGGGTATAACTTCAGGTGAATGTGATGCTGTCTTGGTGGTAAGGCCCTGGGCACATGCCCTGGGTATAACTTCAGGTGAATGTGATGCTGTCTTGGTGGTAAGGCCCTGGACACATGCCCTCTGTATAACTTCAGGTGAATGTGATGCCGTCTTGGTGGTACGGCCCTGGACACATGCCCTCTGTATAACTTCAGGTGAATGTAATGCTGTCTTGGTGGTAAGGCCCTGGGCACATGCCCTGGGTATAACATCAGGTGAATGTGAGGATGTCTTGGTGGTAAGGCCCTGGACACATGTCCTGTGTATACCTTCAGGTGAATGTGATGATGTCTTGGTGGTAAGGCCCTGGACACATGTCCTGTGTATACCTTCAGGTGAATGTGATGCTGTCTTGGTGGTAAGGCCCTGAACACATGCCCTGTGTATAACTTCAGGTGAATGTGATGCTTCCTTGGTGATACGGAAATAGTGGGCACGACATGTTTAGCCTTAAAATGAAAAGACAGGACGATTAAAATAATCTTTTGACTAGACGCCTTCTTCAGCAGACCATACAAAACAAGAAACAACAGATAATTATAAACCCAAAAGAAAAAATAATTGCGTGCTCAAAAATCTCAATGAAGTCAATGTAGCTGACAAAAATTTAAATTATTTTCAAGAAAATATCTATGTAGCTTATAAAGTCTTGGTGTTAGCCCATTTCTTGGTATAACTGGCTGTTAACAGTGGTACTCACCAATACTAATAGCTCTACCAAACTTTAACATCATGGGCCTTATTGTTTTTTAAAAATATATACTTTTTAAAGTCAATAAGTAGATTTTAAATAATAACAGTATTTTTTTGATTGGAAGAAGTGCGTCGCCATGAGCAATATGTTTCTTAGGTATTTCCAAAAAAAAAAAAAAAAAAAAAAAAAAAAAAAAAAAAAAAAACCCAACAAAAACAACAATGAAACAGATTGAATCAAACGAACTTTCAAGCGCGTTAGAACCGGGACTCATTTCTCCCCGTTGCTGGGTGGACAACATGTGAACGTCGTACCCGATGGGTTCGATGTTTTCGAGGCTAGTTGAAATTGTACACTAGAAAGCTTATCCAATAGAGACACAGGGAACGTCTGCCCTGACTCTGACACCGAGACCGGACTAAAGTCCGTGCACACCTGATTTTAATTAGGCCACTTAAAGAGAGGCAACATGGAGTCTGATGTGTTACTTAAAAAAAAAAAAAAGGAACAAAAAAAAAAAAAAAANGCAGACTTGTGTTCCATTGTGTGGTGTGTGCAGACTTGTGTTCCATTGTGTGGTGTGTGCAGACTTGTGTTCCATTGTGTGGTGTGTGCAGACTTGTGTTCCATTGTGTGGTGTGTGCAGACTTGTGTTCCATTGTGTGGTGTGTGCAGACTTGTGTTCCATTGTGTGGTGTGTGCAGACTTGTGTTCCATTGTGTGGTGTGTGCAGACTTGTGTTCCATTGTGTGGTGTGTGCAGACTTGTGTTCCATTGTGTGGTGTGTGCAGACTTGTGTTCCATTGTGTGGTGTGTGCAGACTTGTGTTCCATTGTGTGGTGTGTGCAGACTTGTGTTCCATTGTGTGGTGTGTGCAGACTTGTGTTCCATTGTGTGGTGTGTGCAGACTTGTGTTCCATTGTGTGGTGTGTGCAGACTTGTGTTCCATTGTGTGGTGTGTGCAGACTTGTGTTCCATTGTGTGGTGTGTGCAGACTTGTGTTTCATTGTGTGGTGTGTGCAGACTTGTGTTCCATTGTGTGGTGTTTACAAACAATGCTCGAAATCAGTATCGCTCTTGTTGAAAAGAGGATACAATTTTTCAATGTGACGTTAACAGATTACTGGTTGGAAGTGGCGCCTCTTATCCACCCCCACACACTCCTCCTCCCACCCCCTAATTTTTTTGGTGCATGTTTATGTACTTAGACAAGTTGGTTCACCTGTACAGATGCCCCCCACGCCAGCAGGTTTATTTTCTTAGACAGGTCGGTTCACCTGTACAGACGCCCGCACACATCCCCCCACACACTTTCTCATGTCTACCTGCAGCAGTTCTGCCCAATCAGTGTCGTCTGCCCCCGGTATGAAAGATGTCAAGTGTCACCTACGGTGTGCCGTTGTTTGTCACAAGGGGAAGCACTCAGAATCAGGTACGTTAACTGGCCAGTGCCTTACACTTTACCATACTTTACAAATCTTTACAATACTTTAAAAAGTTAGCAAAACTTTACAAGACTTTAAATTACTTTACAAAACTTTACGATGTAAAATATCAGTAAATATCACATAGTCTCTTATAAAAAAAGCAATCAAACTAACATGCAATACTGTTTATTAAAAAATGCATTCCTTAATTAAGAAATCAAATTTTTAATATATGAGGTTTGATCATTGTTCGTGCTACGCCCACTAAAATATCGGACATTCTTAAAATGGCTTTAGATATACTTTAGATGAGTTGTATACACGAGATCCTAACTGCAATACATAATTCATCATAATTGCCAAACTGTAAGGGTTCTCAAACTTTATGGGACATCTTACCACTTCGATGAATGGCTTTCACAATAAACTATGAGAACACATTCATTCATTGTGTCATTCATACAACTAGTATGTATCTGAATTTTTGTTACGTCAAGAAACAACGTATTCTACCCCCCCCCCTTTTTTTTTTCTTCACGATTCCAAGTGGTACATGCACCCAGGCTAAGAATCACTGTCCTAAAGAAATGTTATCACCCTGGGAGATTATGCTATCTTTCATTAAACAACTCAAACATCTGCCAATAAGACAACATTAGTTAACACTGCTGTACAACACCTATGGGGGACACGCTACACAGTACACGGCTTCTTTAGTGGATGGATGGCTGATTTAATAATAGAAAAGATTCGAGACTTGACCATGTCTGACCATGACAGATTTATCTGATGTATTTGTTTTTAAA